TTGAGAGAAGCTGTGGCAAGGAACCATATGGAGCAGTGAGCTAAACCCTTTGGGCCTTCAGAAAGGAAGAGACATATTAGGAGATATTGTGAAAAAAGAATGGTTAGAGTGTGGAAGTTGAAATAGCCTGCATTCTCTTAAATGCTTATGAGTCTAGTATTTACCTCCAGGGAGTGTACTATATTTTCCAGAAGAATTTAGGCAACTGATAACTTCTGATTAAAGGTTAAAAACAACAACAGGGCCTCCCCGGTGGCGCAGCGGTTGAGCGCTGGGTTGCGAAGCTGCGCGCGGCCTCTGAGGCGCCGGTTCGATCCCCGGCTGTTCCCGGCCACCGGAGGAGGGTCCCACATGGCGCGCAGACCTCTCCTGCCGCCCGCTGCTCCCCTCAGCAGTGTACTTCGGTCCTTCTGCCTGCTCTGCTCCCAGCTCTGGCTCTGGTGAATTCTCTCACCCTCCCGCGCTTCTGACTGTACCCAGTGCATGTATAAACAAAACAAACAAACCAGCAAACAAATAAATAAAGCATGCCTCTATAAAAAAAAAAAAAAAAAAAATAAAAAAAAAATAAAAAAAAAAAATAAAAACAACAACAACCCTTGCATCTAGAGGAATTACAGAATTTTAGGACAATCAGGTTTTTTTTTTTTTTTTTTTTTTTATAGAGGCATGCTTTATTTATTTGTTTGCTGGTTTGTTTGTTTGTTTTGTTTATACATGCACTGGGTACAGTCAGAAGCACGGGAGGGTGGGAGAATTTACCAGAGCCAGAGCGGGGAGCAGAGCAGGCAGAAGGACCGAAGTACACTGCTGAGGGGAGCAGCGGGCGGCAGGAGAGGTCTGCGCGCCATGTGGGACCCTCCTCTGGTGGCCGGGGAGCAGCCGGGGATCGAACCGGCGCCGCAGAGGCCGCGCGCAGCTTCGCAACCCAGCGCTCAACCGCTGCGCCACCAGGGAGGCCCAGGACAATCAGGTTTTGATGCTGTTTCTGGCTTTTTAAATGTATTGCCTCCTCTTGAGTTTTAGATGAGTGGCTTGTGACCAGACAATGGTGATGTTTGACTCAGCCACAACTCCTGGACAGATAAGAATTTTCATTTCCTTCACTAGGAAAGATTACTATAATCCATTTACTTTGTAGTGATCTTTTGTAGATGGACTAACTGTGGTTAAGATCCTAAGGGAAGGAGAAACAATGTTTTTTTTTTTTTTTTTAAAGATTTATTTATTTTTAAGAAATTTATTTATGCATACAAGAACTGGGGTATAGGCCAGTGGTGCGGCGGTAAGGGTGAGAGGATTCACAGAGTAGGGGACAGAACAGGCAGACTAACTGAAATACACTGCTGGGGGGAGCAGTTTGGGAGACAGGAGCAGTCTGCTGTGCGATGTGGATAGCTCCCTGGCGGGCCAGGGATCGAACTTGTGCTGCAGAGACTACGGATAGCTTCACAGTGCTGTGCTTAATCCCTTGTGCCACCAGAGAGGCCCCAGTGGTGAGTTTTAATGTGGACAGTTTTAATGTGGGGGTAGTTGAGGGTTATGCTAGTGTCTTTTCTAGAGACTGCAGAAGTTTTATTTATCCTATCAAATCATCATCTGTCCAGATGCTCATTTCCTTTGAAAGACATGTTTAAGGCTTGGATGAGTACTTTTCAAACTTCAGTGAGTATCAGAATTACTTGAGTGTAGGGTTTCTCAGCCTTGGCATAAGTGACATATTGGGCCAGATAATTATTTGTTGTGGAGATTCTCCTGTGAATTGTAGGATATTTAGTAGCATCCCTGGACTCTACCCAGTAGATGCCAGTAATATCCTCGTTTCCTAGTTGTGACAACCAAAAATGTCTAGTGGGACAGTGATAAATGTCCTGTGTGAGGCAAAATTGCCCCCGTTGAGAACTTGACCTGGATGACTATTAAAAATGTAGACCCCCTAGACCTTATCTTAAAAAATCTGTTTCTGTGGGGGTAGGAGGCTTAAACAGTTAAATTTTCAGGAGACATCCCAGGAGATTCTGAGACCAGTAATCATAGCTTTGCAGTGGGAAAGCTTAGCCTCTCCTAAGCTGAGCTCTGTGCAGACATACTTGACTTGCTCTGTTTCCTCTGTCTTTCGTGCTTTACAGTATCTTTCCCCTCATTATCAAATTTAGGGGGTAAATAATCTCAGAGCACTGACTGGGCTCAATTAAAATAATATCAATTAAATCCTGTAGTGGATATTAGTCTTTTGTTCTGTTTTTTTCTCAGGTCCGGATGTTATTTCTTGACATTTTGATAATAACCATTCTAACCTGTGTGAGGTGAAATCTCGTAATTTTGATTTGCATTTCCCTAATGATTAAGCTATATAGAGTATCTTTTCATGTGTCTGTTGGCTATTTGTATATCTTCTTTGGTGAAAAGTCTGTTTAGATCTCTGTCCTTTTTAAAATCAGGTTGTATCTTTTTTGTTGTGGGTTGTACAAGATGTTTATATATTTTGGGTATAAACTATTTGTAAATATATGGTTTGCAAATATATTCTCCCATTCAGTAGGCTGCCTTTTTGTTTTAACAATGATTTATTTTGCTGTGCAGAAACTTTTTAGTTTGCTGTATTTATAGCTCCATTTATTTATATTCTGTTTTGTTTCTCTGGGAATCCATAAAGACATCACTAAACTGATGTCAAAGATCTTTTTGCCTGTGCTATCTTATGCATACAAGAATTGGGGTACAGGCTAGAGGTGTGGGGCGGGGGCAGTGAGAGGATTCATCAGAGACAGAGTAGGGAGCAGAACAGGTGGATCTACTGAAATACACTTTGCGGGGAGCAGTGGGCGAGTCAGGGGAGGTCTGCTGGTATCGAACTTGTGCTGCAGAGGCAGCAGATAGCTTCACAGAGCTGTGCTTAACCCCTTGTGCCGCCAGGGAGGCTCCAAAGGGAAAAGCTTTGTGAAAAGAAACACCTGCATAGTTATAGGCATGCAGGAGAGCTGCCTTTCTCAGGATTGTTTTGGTTATTCGAGGTCTTTTGGTTTTATGTCAATTTTAGGATTTTTTGGGTTCTGTTTCTGTGAATAATGCCATTGAGATCTTAATAGGGATTGTATTAAATCTGTTTATTGCTTAGGTAATATTGCCATTTTGGTAACATCAACCCTCTGATCTGTGAGCACAGAATGTCTTTCCAGTTCTTTGTGTTCATTTTCTTTCATAGTGCTTTATAGTTTTCAATGTACAAAATCCAAGACTTTTTACAAATTAACTGTAGTTACCCTGGAAGTTGGAGTGCATTTCTGTTAAATTAATTTTCTGATACTGGAGTTGGCATGTATTGTGTTCAAGAAGGCAATACAGGGGCCTCCCTCGTGGCGCAAAGCATTAAGTCGCAGAACTATGAAGCTATTCGCAGGCACTGCAGCATGAGTTTGATCCCCAGCCAAGGAGGCGACCCACATGGCGCAGCAGACCTCTCCTGTCTGCCCTCTGCTCCCCTCAGCAGTGTATTTCAGTCAGTCTGCCTGTTATGCTCCCCACTCTGTCTCTGGTGAATCCTCTCACCCCCCCCCCCCCCCGCACCTCTGGCCTCTACCCCAGTTCTTGTATGCATAAATAAATAAATCTTAAAAAAAAATAAAAATATAATAAAGAAGGCAATACAATAAATTAATGGCTCAGTGCAAGTTGCATTCTTTGTGTATTAGACATGGAAGAGTTTTGCTTTAGGTTTAAAAAATATTGATATTTGGGTACTTTGTCCTCTAGAATTGTGAAGTGATGTACATTTAAGAAGTATATGGTTAGGACTTCCCTGGTGGTGCAGCGGGTTGAACGCTGCGCTGTGAAGCTGCCCATAGCCTCTGCAGTGCGGGTTTGATTCCCAGCCAGCCAGGGAGAAACCCACATGGCGTGGCAGACCTCTTCTGCCTCACCCACTGCTCCCCTCAGCAGTGTCTTTGGTCTGTCTGCCTGTTGTGCTCCTCGTTCTGTCTCTGGTGAATTCTCTCACCCTCCAGTGCCTCTGACTGTACCCCAGTTCTTGTATAAATAAATCTTTTTTTTTAAAAAGCCTTAAAAAAAAGAAGTATATGGTTAGACTGCTTTAAGATATAGTTCTTTTTTTTTTTTTTTTTAAATAGAGGCATGTTTTATTTATTTATTTATTTGTTTGTTTGTTTTGTTTATACATGCACTGGGTACAGTCAGAAGCGCCGGAGGGTGAGAGAATTCACCAGAGCCAGAGCGGGGAGCAGAGCAGGCAGAAGGACCGGAGTACACTGCTGAGGGGAGCAGCGGGCGGCAGGAGAGGTCTGCGCGCCATGTGGGACCCTCCTCTGGTGGCCGGGGAGCAGCTGGGGATCGAACCGGCGCCGCAGAGGCTGCGGGCAGCTTCGCAACCCAGCGCTCAACCGCTGCGCCACCGGGGAGGCCCAAGATATAGTTCTTGAAAAGTTGTATGACTTGGATCTTTCAGAGAGAAGTTGTGCTGCAAGTCATGGGACCAGCAGTCCCTGAGGTTTAGGAACAAAAGACTTTATTGATTTACCATTCAGTTAGGGGGATTTAGAACCATTCCTAAGTTTAATGGTAGATGAAATTAGTATTGAAAAGTCGCCTAATTCTTATTTATTTATTTATTTTTAAAGATTTATTTATTTATGCATATAAGAACTGGGGTACAGGCCAGAGGTGCAGGGGTTGAGAGGATTCCCCAGAGACAGTGGGGAGTAGAGCAGGCAGATCTACTGAAATACACTGCTGAGGGGAGCAGCGGCCAGACAGGAGAGGTCAGCTGCACCATGTGGGTCACCTCCCTGGCCAGGGATCAAACTCATGCTGAGTGGCTGTGGATAGCTTCATAGTGCTGCTCCTTAACCCCTTGCGCCACCAGGGAGGCCCCATCTCATTCTTTTTTATACTTTGTCTACTATGTCTCATTTCTGAGAAACTGTGTTAACACCTAAGATAAATGACCTTTCTATGGGATTACAGTGATCTGTATTTGCTTCTTTACCAGAAAAAATTAAAAAACCTTGTCAGCAGAGATCATGGCATGTAATAGAATGCTGCTTTCTTTTCTTCCATTATGCCTAACTGCTCCTCAGCTGCTGATCATTCTCTCTGCAAGGTAGGATTGTGAAAGTTGAAGAAAGGACTAGGGGTATGTAAACATGCTTTACTCACATTATGGATGTCCTGCAATTTACTGTTCTACCACTCAGATATTTTGCTTTCAAATTTAGGAGTGCAAGCTTAAGTTCTGAGACACTCCCTCTCCAAAAAAATTAATTAAATAAAATAAGCTTTTGTAAGAGTTCAACACTTCTCCCAGTCCACCACCCTGGAAACACTCTTTTTGGCCATGTTCTATGCTTCGAAGTGTTGGCTAAAGGAGACACTATGTAGTCAGTGTGTGGTCACATTTCAGACAGCTTGGGTGGTAAATTCCAGTTGCCTGAGATGATGACAGAGTAATGAGTTGATGCCCTTGGTTGAATCCGGCCCCCCGCCCCCCCCCCCACTCCAAGTGGAAGTAGAATGATGGAAATTTGGTACTTTGGATTGGAATCGTTTTCCCTTACTAGCCTATTCCTTTTTGCTTATTAGAAAGTATTGATTCTGAAATAGAGAAAGTGAGTTTATTAGATTTGAGTTGGGCATTGATTAGCCGTAATCCAATTATAAATCCTCTGAGGAGGATGTTTGTAAACATGCTTTCCCATCCAGGAACCTCGTTCCTGCTATTCCCCTAATCAACTGGTTGAAGCTGAGCACACAAAGATCTATATGCACTAAGCTTAGAATTGCATTGCTTTTGATTTATTTTAATAGGGTCCTCTTGATTTCCAATTTATTTTCCCTCGATAAGGACATCTTCCTCTTGACAATCTATTTAAAAAACACAGCAGTATTTTGAATGGAGGGTGTATTTCATGCTTTGAGGCAAAGCCATGATCAGTATAGTGTAAATTGCCCAAAAGAATCTTCTCTTTGTTAATTTTTCCTTTGGTTTTCTCTGGACTGTAATAGAATTTGAGGACTTAGTGAGGCCTCAATAGAGATGTCTGTCTTTATTTTTAAGTCAGACCTACGGCTTTTTTTTTTAAACACCTTCCCTCTCCCATATTTCAGAATCATTCAATGATGAGCATACACTGAGCATTATCTTGAGCCAAGTGCTTATAAGAAAAAAAATATAAGATGTAGTTCCTGTGCTAAAGATGCTTAATCTCTGGTGGTGAAATTTCCTGTTTTGGTATTTACTCAAAGATGAATCTCCTTTTTGGCTATATATACTCAAGAAAATCAATGTTTGAGATTAATCTTTTGTATTATTGGATGTATCTACTCTTTAAACAAAATTTTGATTTATTTTTCTAAAGATTTATGTATTTATACATATAAGAACTGGGGTACAGGCCAGAGTTGGAGGGGTGAGAGGATTCACCTTCACCAGAGACAGAGTAGGGAACAGTATAAGCAGATCGACTGAAATACACTGCTGAGGGGAGCAGCAGGTGAGTCAGGAGAGGTCTGCTGTGCCATGTGGGTAGCTCGCTGGCTGGGGATCAAAACTGTGCTGAGGTGGGTATGGCATGCTTCATAGGTTGTGGCTTAATCCCTTGAGTCACCAGGGAGGCCCAAAATTTTGATATTTTTTAAAGATTTATTTATGGATACAAGAGCTGGGGTGTAGGCTAGAGGTGTGGAGAGGTGAGAGGATCATCAGAGACAGAGTGGGGAGCAGAATAGGTAGATCTACTGAAATACACTGCTGAGGTGAGACAGGTGAGACAGGAGAGTTCTGCTGAGCCATGTGGGTTAGCTCCCTGGCAGACATTGTATGGCTAGTGATAGCTTGATAGCACCCCAGCTCTTGTGACTTAACCCTTTGTGCCACCAGAGAGGCCCCCAAATTTTGATTTTTGATTAGAAATAAAGTTTCCCAAAACTCATTGAACACAGTTAATTAATTTATTTTTTATTTTTTAATTTTTAAAAAAGATTTATTTATTTATTTGTACAAGCACTGGGTACAGTCAGAAGCGTGGGAGGTGAGAGAATTCACCAGAGCCAGAGCGGGGAACAGAACAGGCAGCCTGATGAAATACACTGCTGAGGGGAGCAGCAGGCATGGCAGGAGAGGTCTGTGACGCCATGTGGGACCCTTGCCAGTGGCCAGTGGCCGGGGATCAAACCAGCACTATGGAGGCTGCGGGCAGCTTCGCAGCCCAGTGCTCAACTGCTGCGCCATCAGGGGAGGCCCTGAACAAGGTTAATTTAAACTGTTGTTTTAGATATTTCTGGAAGTAAATGCAGGCTTCTTGCAACCCCTCATACTTGCCATTGCATGAGATTAGGTTTCACAACTAGACACTAGGCTATAGAGAGAGAAATTTTGTCAGTAATAGAAAGACTCTAGAAAGCAAGGTAAATGGTGTAAATCCATAGGGAAGACCTGTGGCATTGCTAGTTCACAATTGAAAAAAATGAGAATTCCTTGAACCAAGATAGGAAATTTTGGGCATGATTCATGGAACTGTTTTGATATAAAATTGAAAAATACACAAGTTTGATCTGCAATAGTGTTAGATATATATATAATTAAATTTGAAAAGAATATATTGTTATATTCAGTTATTTTGAAATCAAATTTAATTTTTGACCATTTTAACTGTTGTTTTCTGCCTTGGGTCTCTTTCTAGAGGAATTTTTGAAGACAGTCAAGTGCAGTGTGATTTATGAGGCAGTGAAGGCCAAGTACTTCGCTGTGACGAGGAACTACTTTCTTTGGGGAAATCAATGGAGCACATCAGTCTGTAGCACACTTCCTGCCTTAATGGTCCTAAGCTCGATCAATACATGGAATTTAACTTCACCATCAGTCTATGGGCAGTGTGTGCTTTGTGGCCTTCCTCCCATCAGCCTCAAATATATAGCCAGATCCATTATAGATGAAGCTAGTTATACTTTCCTGCTTGGTTTTGGCTCTTCTTTAAGCCATTCCACTGGTATGTTCTAAGGACGTAAAATGTGTTATGCTGTAGGCCAAGTAATGATTTAAACCTTGGTTTACCTGATGGGGAGGGGGTATTGGAACGAGGCAGAAGCCCTGTAGCACAGTTATTTATCATTTTTTCTTCCTGAAAAATTTCCTATTGAGAAGTATTTTAATAGACTCTCCAGAATGCTTTGAGAGCATTTCTCGCACTGACTGTGACTTTCTTTTCACAGATTCTCTAACCATGGCACAGGTAGAGAAACGAGGGGGGTTGCTCCGGAAGTCCTCAGCCTCCAAAAAACCCCTCAAGGAGAAAGTAGTGCTGATGTATGATGAGATCTTTATGGTAAGGCCTGAAGCCCAGACTTTCTGTACAGCCTGACTCCTTAGTTTCTTGTTCCAAAATGAGAAATAATGTCACCTCTGCCTATTCCCTTCCAGTTCTTCAGAGGGTAAGGTAGAGGAAATGAGGGTGAGAATAAGCTGTCTCCTGGTAGGAATTATGATCATGTGTTAATTAATATAGATTATTACTATATTATTATTATTTGCCATGAGCTGGGTAAACAGGTAAAAGGAGAGGGAAGCTTTTTGGAATATTGTTAAACAATCTCTTATCTTCCTAATGATCTGACTCAAGGACCTTCTATTACAGATTTCCCTTGCAGTTCTTTTGCCCCTAGAATTCTGTGATTCAGATATTTTAAAAAAATGCACTGTTACGTTTCAAGTTGTTAGTAGACAGAACAATTGCTCAGTTAAACCATCTCATTCTTTATGTAAGATAATTGAGGAATTATTAGCAGTTGAATTGGGGATTTTTTTGGGCTCTTCATAGAACTGTGGATTGACCATGGTCCAATACTGTGTTTTAAAATTTACCCTTTTGTGGAAATTAATTAGGTACCATGCCAGGGTACTTGCCTTCTAAAATTCTGGTCATAAGTAGTACGTGTAAAACAGAATGATACAAAGAGCATTGAGGTCCTACTGGCATTATTCTAAGTATATCACTGAATACATTAACTCAATTCTTTATTTTTTTAAAAGATTTATTTATTTATTTATTTATACAAGCACTGGGTACAGTCAGAAGCATGGGAGGATGAGAGAATTCACCAGAGCCTGAGTGGGGAGCAGAGCAGGCAGAAGGACCGAAGTACACTGCTGAGGGGAGCAGCGGGCGGCAGGAGAGGTCTGCACGCCATGTGGGATCCTCCTCTGGTGGCCTGGGAGCAGCCGGGGATCGAACTGGCACTGCAGAGGCTGCGGGCAGCTTAGCAACCCAGCGCTCAACCGCTACACCACCAGGGAGGCCCCTCAATTCTTTTTTTTAAGATTTATTTTTAAAATTTATTTATCATACAAGAACTGGGGTATAGGCCAGAGGTGTGGGGGGATGAGAGGATTCATCAAGACCGAATGGGGAGCAGAACAGACAAATCTACTGAAATACACTGCTCAGGGGAGCAGAGGTCTGCTGCACCATGTGGGTCACCTCCCTGACCGGGGATCGAACTCATGCTGCAGTGGCTGGTGATAGCTTGATAGTGCTGAGGCTTAACCCCCTGCGGCACCAGGGAGGTCCCATTAACTCTTTTCTTTTTTATTTATTTATTTATTAATTTATTTGTTTGTTTTGTTTATACATGCACTGGGTACAGTCAGAAGCGCGGGAGGGTGAGAGAATTCACCAGAGCCAGAGCAGGCAGCAGAGCAGGCAGAAGGACCGAAGTACACTGCTGAGGGGAGCAGCGGGCGGCAGGAGAGGTCTGCGCACCATGTGGGACCCTCCTCTGGTGGCCAGGGAGCAGCCTGGGATCGAACCGGCGCCGCAGAGGCTGCGGGCAGCTTCGCAACCCAGCGCTCAACCACTGCGCCACCGGGGAGGCCCCCCATTAACTCTTAATTCTGACAAGAATGCTACATGTGCTATGTAGAAGAACATTTTACAAATGAGGAAACTGGGGATCACCACTGGAAGGTGATGGAACTATGACTTGAACCCTGGCGTCTGGATCTAAAATACTTTGTTCAACTTTGCCACATGACCCAGAATAAATGGATTAAGTAAAACATCTAACTTGGCAAGTATTAGAAGTAGAATTTGACATGCTGAAAATTAATACAGGTCGGTATAGGTGGCTATTCAGAGAAAATGAGTAATACTAGGATCCTTTTAGGGCTATTTCTGTGTTAAATAAGATTGATGTACATATGATTCCTGCTTGAGTGAGCTTTGAGGATGGGAAGTGCCTGTTCCGTTGGTCTCTAGACCCCCCCCCCAAAGATTTATTTATTTATTTGTTTATTTATGCAAGTACTGGGTACTGTCTCGTGGGAGGGTGGGAGAATTCACCAGAGCCAGAGCGGGGAGCAGAGCAGGCAGAAGGACCGAAGTACACTGCTGAGGGGAGCAGCGGGCTGCAGGAGAGGTCTGGGCGCCATGTGGGACCCTCCTCCGGTGGCTGGGGAGCACCTGGGGATCGAACCGGCGCTGCAGAGGCCGCGGGGAGCTTCGCAACCCAGCGCTCAACTGCTGCGCCACCTGGGAGGCCCCCCAATATAGCAGTTTAAAACGACCAAGTATTTTCAAAGTTAATTTTGAAAGATAAGATTGATTATATGTGATTATGTGCCCCTTTTAAATGTATTCTTTTTTTTTTTTAAGATTTATTTATTTATATAAGCACTGGGTATAGTCAGAAGCGCGGGAGGGTGAGAATTCACCAGAGCCAGAGCGGGGAACAGAACAGGCAGACTGATGAAGTACACTGCTGAGGGGAGCAGCAGGCGGCAGGAGAGGTCTGCGTGCCATGTGGGACCCTTGCCCGGTGGCTGGGGATCGAACTGGCACTGCAGAGGCTGCAGGCAGCTTCACAACCCAGCGCTCAACTGCTGCGCCACCGGGGAGACCCTTTAAGTGTATTCTTAATGTTTTGGTGTTTGCTGGGGATGTTTAACCTGCTTATCTTCTGGTTTCAGACAGAGGACCCTAGTAAATGCAGTCCTCGATTTTGGGAGGAGCTCTTCCTCATGAAGGTAAGACTTGGTGGCATCAGTGAGTTTTCCTGGTAGCTGAGATTGCCTCCTTAGCTGTTCTAAGTGCTACTAAAAATGCACTCAGGTCCTTATTGTTTCCTTGGTAGGTGAATTTAGAGTACCTAGAAGGCAAGCTGGAATCTCTCGATGGGGAGGAGTTAATGAAGATCAAGGACAATATCAATTGCTTATTTCAACACTGCATACAGGCTCTTGGAGAGGAACATCCAATTCGAGTTGTCAATGCATTGCAGGTACAAGGCTGGGAGACTGGGGAACCTTGTTTAATAGGAGGAAGGAATTATAATACATCTGTTGGAATCTGAGGAACCTAGAATTTCCCCAACGCATGAGGGTTTTTTTTTTCAAGATTTATTTTTATTTATTTATGCATACAAGAACTGTTGTGTAGGCCAGAGATACGGGGCAGGGGTGGGGGTAGTGAGAGGATTCACCAGAGACAGTGCGGGGAGCAGAACAGGCAGATCCACTGAAATACACTGGAGAGCAGTGGGTGAGATGGGAGAGGTCCTCTGCGCCATGTGGGTTGTTCCCTGGCTGGAGATCAAACTGGAGTGGGTGACCTTAGCTTGATAGTTCTGAGACCTAACCCCTTGTGCCACCAGGAAGGCCCTGCAGGAGGATTTTAAAAAATTTTTTAATTTTAAAGATTTATTTAGGGGGCTCCCCGGTGGCGCAGCGGGTTGAGCGCAGTGTTGTGAAGCTGTCTGCAGCCTTTGCAGCACCAGTTTGATTCCCGGCTGGCCAGGGAGATTCCCACATGACGTGGCAGACCTCTCCTGTCACACCCGCTGCTTCCTGCCTGTTGTGCTCCCCACTCTGTCTCTGGTGAATCCTCTCACCCTCCTGTGCCTCTGGCCTGTACCCTATCTCTTGTATAAAAATAAATAAATCTTTAAAAAAAAAGATTTATTTATTTATGCATACAAGAACTGGGATACAGGTGAGAGGATTCACCAGAGACAGAGCGGGGAACAGAACAAGCAGACTGGCTGAAATACACTGCTGAGGGGAACAGCGGGCAAGACAGGAGAGGTCTGCTGCACCATGTGGATAGCTTCCTGGCCAGGGATCGAACTAGTGCTACAGTGGCTGCGAATAGCTTTATAGGTTGCGTCTTAACCCCTTGCGCCACCAGGAAGGCTTTTTTTCTGTATTTTTTAAAGTAATCTGAAGTGGCACAGCCACGTTAGTTCCTGGTTAAACAAAGTAATACTTATAGTAACAGTCTTGTCCATTTGTATAATTTGATCTAATGCCAAGGCAGATTTTTTGATAGAATACTTATTATTACTTGAGGAAAGGAAGAGAGAGAGTAGAAACTAAAGCAGGGATGTGTCATCTATAGCATAAATTTGAAGAGATTCTTATTATTGTAATTTCTTTTTAAATCAGGAATTCTTAATCTCAGACTTCAGAGGGTTTTTTACTCCCTAAAATTATGTGTAATATTGTCTGTGCATATGTACATTTTTTTATGGAGAGAGGGTGTTTGTCAGATTCTCAAAAGGGTCTGTAACTCTAAAAACATTTAAGAATTTGTATTGTAAATGCTAAGCGGCATGATTATGGTGAGGATTCCTTCAGTGACTGTTTCTTGAATTACTGTTTTATGTGCCACGTGATATGGGGATGATTGATAGATTTTTGAAGGGAAAGACTGAAAGTTTCATTCAATACTTTAGTGTATGAACAGTGTCTGGCAAATAGTCAGCACTGTAGAAATCAATTTTTGTTGAATGGATGATAAACCAAAATTTACGGAGTTTATTGTCTAGCAGCCTTAGATTGGGCTGAATGCCTAAGGCAGTGATTGAAAAATGCATGACAGCATAAAGGATTTATTGGAACTTTTGGTAAATTGGGTTTAAGTTTCTAATTTACTTGACATGCAAATTACTTCTTGAGCCCCAGTTTTCTCATCTTTAGAATATAGAAATTACCTCTTGAGCTGAAGCCCTAGAAAGAAGGACCATACTTATCCTGGAGCCTTGTTATTCTTTGCTATAGTAAGTTCCACATTTTGAGCTCCAAAGTTATAGGGGTGCATTGAAAGTTGGAAATTGCACTTCCGTTTATTGCAGTGGTTCACGTTGGAGACACGAATTGTAAGCTGCTTATTAGTTCAGTGGAAATAAATTGACATGAAGTCATTTGGTGACCCATAAAAATGTAGTACATTATTGTAATAACTGATATACTTACTGAGCTTTAACAAAGTTTCAGGGCCTATTTCTAAGTGCTTTACAGCATTAAGTTACATTCACATGGTCCTCAAAACATCCTGATGAGATGGGTGCAATTGTCATCATTCCCATTTTATAGATGAGAAAACTGAGTGATTGAAGATAATTTTTTCAAGCTATTAAGTAGTGAATGGGGATTGTGTGAATTTTTTTTTTAAAGATTTATTTATTTATTTATACAAGCACTGGGTACAGTCAGAAGTGTGGGAGGGTGAGAGAATTCGCCAGAGCAGGGAGCAGAACAGGCAGACTGACGAAATACACTGCTGAGGGGAGCAGTGGGCGTGGCAGGAGAGGTCTGCGCGCCATGTGGGACCCTCGCCGGTGGCCGGGGATTGAACCGGCGCTGCAGAGGCTGCCGGCAGCTTCTCAGCCCAGTGCTCAACTGCTGCACACCACTGGGGAGGCCCAAGGGGATTGTGCGAATTTAAGATTTGAAGAAATTAGTTGTTATATAGGGACTTCAAATTTGTAGTTATTAAAATAACTATTAGAAATGATAAACTGTGAGTCCTAAAATATATTTAAATAAAGGAAAACTCCACCAGTCCCGTGATTCAAACTCAAGATTTATTTATTTTTCTTTTTTAATATTATTTTCTAGTCTTTGTCTGTAGTGCAATTTTTTAAGAGGATGGCCAAAACCAACGAAAGGATGATGATAGTTTTAGTTGTTATTTTGCTTATAGTTTCTGAATTTTGCACATATTAAGACTTAAACTGTGTTTTGGAGCTCAGAATAGTGGAACAATTGAATGTCAGTAAGAAGGAGTTTCTGAAATTGCAATGTGAGGCTATAGGTCCAGTGCCCTCATTTTGAGACTTCTTTTCTAGAAAGAATTCTTTCTTTCTTCTCTGCAGACCTTGTGTGCACTCATTCGAGGAGTCCATCAGAAAAATAAGTCTACTTCTGGGTTTGACATTATCAACATGCTAATGGGCTTCGACAAGGCGGAGCTGTGTATGAAGGTGAGGTATAAGCTGCAGTTGTGCATGTGATGGTTGCTTCTGACAGCAGTTTAAGGATATCATCTGCAGACAGACATAATAGAAGATTTAGACTCATAGAGATAGATGGTTGAATCTAGCCTTGAATTTGGTTTTTATTTTACAGATTTGATTTATCTAAGTAAAGGAAAATTTGAAATTCAAATTTGAATTGAAGTACCCTTTCCCTGCAGGATAAAGATTAGCAGTTTATTTTATAATTTATAATATGTAATCATGTGTTCTTTCATATATTTATGAATTAAATAACAAATTAATAAACAGGGTTACTTTAATTTTAAATGTTGGGCTTGCTTATATAACACAATGACTTTTATTTTTGTTGTTGTTGTTAGTTGATTTCTTTTATTAACCCATATGCAATTACTTGTCTTCTGGTTTGTTGAAACAAAGGTCAAACAACATTTGCCACAATAATGTTTGTCAGAACGGCTGCCCATAAAAATGCTAACACCACATTCCTGTGATGGGCACTTCTGATGAAGGCAACTGATTTTACCATTCTCATCCACCATATGTCAGGACAGCCAGCTTAACCTTTTTTCTCTTACATTTATTTTCCTTGGGAGTGGTGTGAGACTATTTTCTCAGCACCACCACACAGCCTTAATATAAGATGAAACTCCTGTTTCTTCCTCATTCATTCCCTGTAAGAGTGGGGCACGTGTCTTTATAGTTCCTTAAGCTGGAAACCCAGGAGTCCTCCTTGACTCTTTCCTCTCCCTTATGTTTCTTATCCAGACGGTCACCAATCTCAGTTAATTTTACCTCAGCTCGTAATTCTCATATCTGTCTTTTTCCCCCCCCAACTGTCAATATCCCCATTATCTCTTACTTGAACTATTGCAGTGATGCCTTCATTCAGTCTTCTGACAAACATTTGTTTAGTTCCTATATGCCAGGCACTGGGGATACAGAGGTAAATAAAACATGGCAACTATCCTCAGAAAATTGATAGATTAGTCTTCATTTGTCTCCTTCCCTCCAAGCACCCTCTTTAAATATATCATCTGTACTGACACCACACTTACACTCAAATCTTTTCTGCTTTTAAAACCCCTCATTAGTTTCCTATCACTAACAGGATAAAGACCAAATCCCATAGTTAACCTTATAAAACTTTAATGATCTGTTCTCTGTTTACTTCAGCAGCCTCATCTCACCACTATGCCTTACTCTGTCCTTCCATATTAACAAGCTACTTGTGTTCCAGTTTCATACCTAGGACTGTTTCATCCCTCATATGTCTTTGATCATGTTAATGCCTATCTAGAATTCCTCTCCTCCTCAAATTTTAGTTAACTCTTACTGTTTTTCAATATATGATCCACACTGAGGAGTCCTGGAATTCGTGACTTCTTTGCTAATTCCCTTCCTTTGTGTGTGTTTCTGTCATAGAAGCCATTGAATGAAAGCTATACTTATTTTACCCTCTCAATGGGCTAAAAATACCCTGAGAGAATTGGTGAACAGTAAAGGTCATTGTCTTATTTTTTTCTTAAATGCTTTGAAAGCACAATAGTTAGCATATAGTGAGCCTATGTACTCGTTGAATTGAACTGAATAGTTTATTTTGAATCTTCATTTGCTCTTCCAGCATGTTAAATCCTTATTCTCCATTTATTCTCCCCCTTCATTAATGTAAAATACTTCTTTTCTTCCTACTTCCATTGTAGTTTCTAAGGGTTTCATCTTTTAATTACTTTGGGTCTATCAGTTGCTAGTAAAAATGATAAACTCCAATCACACTATTTAGTAGCATTGACCAGATGGACATGAACAAGCTTTGCTGGACAGTGCATATGGCCAGTAATATGATACTGTCTCTTTGTTGTCTATTCAGTGTACCTGTATCAAATGATATCTTCTCCTTATCAAATAATGAAATATATCTACAGTCATTTAATTATTATTATTAACCTTGAACTTACCCATTTATTTAATTTATTTTAAATTCATTTAATCAAATTTTAATTATTCTATTATTTATTTATCTTTTTAAACTTATGTACTTTGATTTAACCAATATTATTGTTATTTCATTCTAACCTAAATGAAATAACAGTCTCTTATCCTCATATAAAGGATGAAAGACTGCAAGCACTCATTTGGTAGGGTAGTGAATTCTTTATTGTTCTATGCAGTTGTTGTAAAGAACGTCCCCAAATAACCAGACTTTGATGTCTGTCTTTTCTCTCTGTAATCTTTTTTTTAGATTTTTTAAAATTTATGCATACAAGAACTGGGGTGTAGACCAGAGGTGTTGGGGGTGAGAGGATTCACCAAAGACAGAATGAGGAGCAGAACAGGCAGATCTGAGGGTAGCAGCGGGTAAGACAGGAGAGGTCTACTGTGCCATGTGGGTCAGCTCCCTGGCCGGGGATCAAACTCACACTGCAGTGGCTGGGGATAGCTTGATAGCACTGAGACTTAACTCCTGCGCCACTAGGGAGACCCTCTCTTTCTAATCTTGCAAGGCCTAGACCTCAGGGAATGATGGTTCTTTTATTGTGTGCTGCTCACATTACCCTGTGTAACATAACCCAGAGTTGGACAAAGACATAATGGAGGTGTTATTTGATACAGTTTAATACTTAACTGTTCTCTTTCTCAGAACCTGATGGAGAGTTTGGATTCATTGCTTTGTGCAGAAGGCTCTGAAAGTCTGAAGAGTTTATGCCTGAAACTTCTCCTTTGCTTAGTGACTGTAAGTGACCCAGCCGTAGGTTTCTTTTGTCAAGGATATTAACTGACAGTGGGGACAAACTTATTTGAATGTTTTGGGCCAAAGTTAGAAAGTAAAACAAAATTCTTTACTGGGGCATTAAATGTGTGGAGGAAGAAAATTAGTTACATGGGTTTTCACTTCCTGGAAGTTGTTCTCTGGGGCAGCTGCTGGCATTTTAACCTGTAGGATCTGTGGTATTTATCACTTTAGAAGTGCCATTCCTGGAGAACTGCTCTTTTCTGGATTGTCAGATTTGTCCCTTCTCCTCTGGTCTTGCTTGGAAATAGTTTTTGTGATACTGAATATTTTTTACTTATTTCTGATTTTGATTACAGAAGTGGAAGCTGGCCTATGCCTTCCTATGGGAGGAGGGCAGGGTGTTTATGCCCGTCAGGTAGTGCCCTTTCTCTGCTACCACTCCAGGACTTCTGGGTCATAAACTGCTTCCTTTGCATTGGAGGAATGAAACCTAAGAAGCTGTTGAGCAAATGCTTTTGTGAGGGTCTGAGAAAAACATGAGACATTCAATGATTAGGAAGTTTTGTATGTTGATTTTCTACTCTTCCAGTGTCTGTCTGTAAGACTCTGTTGCTGGCTTCAGAGGTGCTAATGGAAGATTTAGTATCTGGTAGAATGTTTTAACATTTCTGTTTCTTTTATATGCTAGGGAAGAGATATACATGAGCTATCAGAGTGCCTCTGTGTAGACTTTAAAAAGCCTTTTATTGCATTCAGGTGACAGATAACATCAGCCAAAACACTATCCTGGAGTATGTAATGATCAACAGTATATTTGAAGCAATTTTACAGGTAGGCCAATTACCTAGTCACTTCTTTCACGTTTGGGTAAACCACCTCCATAATTTTCTCTATCTGCATTTCCAGGAACTAGGAGTTAGCAGTCTCATACATTATTGGTTCTTATTACAGATACTCTCCCATCCCCCAAGTCGTCGGGAGCATGGGTATGATGCTGTTGTCCTCTTGGCTTTGCTGGTAAACTATAGAAAATATGAGGTAAGTTGGTCCCTTAGTGAACTTTTGTTACTTGCTATAATCTTTTCAGTGCAGCCACTCATAGAGGACTTTGCTTAGTGTGAAGACATGTTTCTAGTAAATGATATATAGGTCATCTTTGATATACCAAATTCTGCAAATCCTATATTTAATGCAAAGGATGTAGCTGTTTAAAGGATTCCTGTGCTGCAACTTCTAATAAAATGAGCAAATGTCCCTTAATATAGTAGTTTCTAAACCTGAGGATTATTATTAGAATCACCTAGGAACTTTTTTTTTTTTTTTTTTTTTTTTATAGAGGCATGCTTTATTTATTTGTTTGCTGGTTTGTTTGTTTGTTTTGTTTATACATGCACTGGGTACAGTCAGAAGCGCGGGAGGGTGAGAGAATTCACCAGAGCCAGAGCGGGGAGCAGAGCAGGCAGAAGGACCGAAGCACACTGCTGAGGGGAGCAGCGGGCGGCAGGAGAGGTCTGCGCGCCATGTGGGACCCTCCTCCGGTGGCCGGGAACAGCTGGGGATCGAACCGGCGCTGCAGAGGCCGCGGGCAGCTTCGCAACCCAGCGCTCAACCGCTGCGCCACCGGGGAGGCCCGGAACTTTTTTTTTTTTAAGATTTATTTATTTATGCATACAAGAACTGAGGTACGGGGGTGTGAGAGAATTCAAGGAGAGTGGGGAGCAGAACACGCAGATGTACCGAAACACACTGGTAGGCAGCGGGCGACACAGGAGAGGTCGATCTCGCCATGTAGGCCAGCTCCCTAACCGTCTGGGGTTGAACTTGTGCTGCAGTGGCTGGCAATACCCTGACAGCTCTGTCTTTAACCCCTGCACCACCAGGGAGGCCCACCGCTTAGGAACTTTTTAAAAAGAAGAAATCTCTGGGCTTTACACTTAATACACTGAATCAGAATCTCTGGGCGGGGACCTGGGAATCTAGTTTTTGTTTTTTAGCCTTTTTTTGGATGTTATGATCCCCTGTTGAGTATCATGATTAGCTAAGATTGGGAACCACCTCATGCATCTGTTTCGGAATATTGGACTTTCAGATGTTGCAATTCTTAGCAAGTTCACCTATGTAAGTGTCTCTTTTGATCTGGGGCCTTTTTCTGATTTTAATGGAAGATCGAAGACAAAACCTTATCAGTTCTCCAGTTCTCTTTGCCCTGAGTTAACCAAGGGCAGATTTATAGGTTTTTGAGATGAAGAACAGGACTCAGAGATTTATACTTGGGTTGGTGTGATTCTTTTCAATAGTCAAAAAAGAAAGGAGCTGCCGGGGGATATCAGGAGCCTCACTGAGGGTTGTTTTGGAGGAAAAGGGAACCCTGAACCTATAGCTCAGGAACTGTGTTGGGCAGCCTGGCTTTCTCACTTCATAAGTAGCAGTGCTGTGAGAGGTGGGCCAGGTGGAGGGAGGATTTTCATTTTTGAGCTTTTGGATTTTCATTAAGTTATTAAGAAAAAAATTTTTTTTTTTACTCAATGATTTTTGACGTGATTTCTAGCCAGGTTAAGTGGTAGGTTAAAAGTAAATCTGGGGCCTCCCCGGTGGTGCAGCAGTTGAGCGCTGGGTTGTGAAGCTGCCCCCAGCCTCTGCAGTGCCGGTTCGTCCCCAGCCATGGGCGAGGGTCCCACATGGCGCGTGGGCCTCTCCTGCCACCCGCTGCTCCCCTCAGCAGTGTACTTCGGTCCTTCTGCCTGCTCTGCTCCCCACTCTGGCTCTGGTGAATTCTCTCGCCCTCCTGCGCTTCTGACTGTGCCCAGTGCTTGTATAAATAAATAAATAAATCTTTAAAAAAAAAAAAGTAAATCTGAAGCCTATTCTTTTTTTTTTTTTTAAAGATTTATTTATTTATGCATACAAGAGCTGGGCTACAAGCCAGAGATGCAGGGGGTGGGAGGATTCACCAGAGACATAGTGGGAAACAGAACAGGCAGAATGACTAAAATACACTGCTGAGGGGAGCAGCACGCGAGACAGGAGAGATCTGCTTTGCTATATGGTTCACTCTGGCCAGGCAGGGATTGAACTCGTGCTGCAGAGGCTGCAGATTGCTTCATAGTGCAGTGCTTAACCCCTTGCGCCACCAAGGAGGCCGTGAAGCCTATTCTTAAGGAGGTTTATGAAAGAAGGGGAGAATGTGAGAGAAGAGTACTTAACAAGTATATGTGGAACACTATTAATGTGTTATAAATCTCAGAAGCTGATTGCTTTCATTGTTTTGGAACAACTGGCAAATAGAGCTACTAATAAATATGTAATTTATAACCAAGACCTGTTTGACTGGTGATCCAGAGAGGTTGGCATGGTAGCTGTTTTGATCTCTGTCATGTGTACTAGCCTCTGGGGTCTTATTACAAGATCAAGAAAAATAGCGGAGGAAAAAATGCTGAAGATAGTTAAAAAGAGTTGAGTTATATGTGATAGGAAAGTGCCATCATCAGTAATGAATACTTTCAGAACATTCTGCTGGGTGCAGGACTCTCTGAGGCAATGGTTTGGCTTCTCTAAATGTGACCTGAACCCTGCTCAACCAGGGCTCTCTGACATGTCAGCCTGAAAAATTGGACATTGCTAAGGAACTCGAGAAAATCATATTTCTGGGGTGAAGTATGTATCTCCAGTCTGTCAGAAGTCCCAGAAGAATTAATATAGTAGGCAAGGACAAGCTGGTGGGCATAATTTATCTGGGCTTTACAGTTTTTCATATAAGTCATTCACCAGAAACCATTAAGGAAACCTGGTGGCATGGAACAGGAAGGTTTTTGACAGGAACATGTGGAATTTTGCATGACCATAGGAAAACCAAAAGCTAGTGACGCTTTATGCAAACTACTTTGAGATGGTATGTGCTAGTGAGAATAGTTTTCCAGATGCCACCATGGCCAATCCCATCACCAGTGGGATAGGTTGTAACCTTTCTAGAAAGGTGCAGAGGACACTAGACAGGCTAGGTGCCGAACTGCAGTGATGGCAAATAAGGTTTTGGACTTAAGGAATGGAAATGATGGGAAGATGTCACATAGTAAGTACAGATAGTTCCTCCTTACTTCAAATAATGCATTTTGTTTAATCCTTTCAGCTAAAGAAATAGAGTGAGGCAAAAGAAAAAAAAAAGTCTAGGGGAGAGCAATATAAAGGCTAATTATGGTTTTAGAGGAAATAAAGGCTAGACAGGACACTAACAGAATGATTTTGTGAAGACTCACAAGATCTGTCTTATGGATGAAAAATAGATTGCCTCCAGCTTTAAAACATGACCAACAACACATATAGTGTTAAGGAAAATCAGCGTTTGGTAGAGTAGACTATTTCATAGCCTTGAGATCCCGGCTGTCTAGGTTGGCCAAGTCTCCTGAGATGAAGTGGCTCAGTCCCCAATTGCTGCCCTGGCCATGACATTTTCCAGGAATTACAAAATTGTTTTTTGTGTCCAGTTGCAAGTTGTTTCTTTCGTCTCCTTTTTTTCCACACAAAGAGCTTCCTTTGAATGTGGTAAATACCACTACTTGTTATTGAACCTTTACCATTTGTCAAGTACTGTGCTAAGGATTTTATGTCTTATTTCATTTAAGTCTCATAGCAACCCCAAAGAAGAAAATAGTATCCTCTTTTTACAGATGGGGAAATTGAGCCTAGATTAATCAGTGTGCCTAACTCATCACAGTAAGCAGTGGAGTTAGAACTGAAACCCTCACTTTTAGCCACTTTGCTTTTTTCCTCAGCTGCTGCTAAAGCACAGGCTATTTGGTAATCAGATGACTCTTATTACCTACAAAGTCACCTTTTATGAAAGTGACTTTCAAAAATTATGCCAGGAAGCAGTAGCCTGCTTCTAGTGTTCTCACTGTGATGACACCTTACTCCTGGTTTTCTTTACCAAGGATCTACTTGAATTGGATCTTGTTTAAAGTCTGTAACATCAGCACAGTTATTCTCTTGGTTATAGGAAGATGTGTTGAGAGCTGTCCTCTCTTAGGTCAATTGACAAATTGGGTGGATTGTATGTATCTCCTTAGAGTTGTATTGTAGAAACGTTATAAACATTTGGACTGCTAAGAAAGCAAAACTGTCTCTTTCTCTATTCCCAATTGGTATTCGAAAGATGCACTCCGAAACTTGATTAAATAAGGTCTATGTGGGGGGTTAGCCTTTCAGTTGAGTTTCCAACTTTCTCAGTAATGAGTTTTCTTGGTTGCTGTAAAAACTACCAATCTGAGAACTATTGTTCCTTGCTTCCCTTGGGTTAGAATTGGTGTCTGATCTAGATCAGATCTTTGCTCACATCCCATGGGTGGTGTTTTCAAGGTGAGCAGTTTATTGGTTCTCATCCCACTGGTAGGAGATGGCCCAACTGCTTAATGAGTTTAAATATGTGTCCATTTCCATATGCTGCCCAGCTGAGATGGGTCTGGAAAAACTCAAGAAATCTTCCAATGCTATAAGTGATGGGACAATCATTAAATCCCAGTGTCCTGACCAGATTGTAGTTTGGGTAATTAACATCCTTTTTTTTTCAGTTCCCCTGCAGTGTTATTTGGGAATCGGATCCATAAATGGCCTCTCTGGCTGTTAAGCAGCTGCCACTTTCCACCCCCAAGGTGGCTTTGTTTTACGGGTGGGTGACTCAGTCCTTGCATATAGTTTGTGGAATGGTGTGGTTAGGGAGCCTTTGGGATGAGAGTGTAAGTTAGCAATTAATAAATTTGTGCCCTATGGCAAAGAAGCTTTTATGTTGCCCAAAGGACAACTGTCCCCATGGGGGACAAATTATTGGTAGGACAGGACAAAGTAAGTTTTGTGTTCACATCTTAGAAACAAATAAGAGGGAAAGATGGGAAAAGTGACAGACATAGGTCTGACCCTGATTTAGCTTAGAGGAAAATGCAAGTGGGACAAAACTCTGTGTGTGTGTGTGTGTGTGTTATTGTATGTTTATGCATGCATGCCCATGCTTGGGGAATGCCCATGTACACTGAGAGATTTACTGGAATCAGCTGGCAAAATGGGTTTGCCTGGGTATTAGGAGCATCACTATAGAGAGAGCCTTAAAGAAACTTTTTTTTAAAAGATTTATTTATTTATTTATACAAGAACCGGGGTACAGGCCAGTGGTGGGAGGGTGAGAGGATTCACCAGAGACAGAGCAGGGAACAGAACAGGCAGACTGATGAAATATACTGCTGAGGGGAGCAGCGGGCACAACAGGAGAGGTCTGCAGCACCATGTGGGACCCTTGCCCCCGGCCGGGATTGAACTGGCTTTGCAGAGGCTGTGGACAGCTTCACAGTGCGGTGCTCAACCGCCTGCGCCACCAGGGGAGGCCCGAAAATTTTTTTTTTTTTATTTATTTTATGCATACAAGAGCAGGGGTACAGGCCAGAGATGCAGGGGGTGGGAGGATTTACCGGAAACAGAGCGGGGAGCAGAACAAGCAGACTGAGTGAAATACACTGCTGAGGGGAGCAGTGGGCGAGACAGGAGAGGTCTGCTGTGCCATGTGGATTTCTCCCTGGCCAGCCAGGGATCGAACTCATGCTGCAGAGGCTGTGGATTGCTTCATGGTGTGGTGCTTAACCCCTTGCACCACCAGGGAGGCCCAAGAAACATTTTTGTTAACACTGTTTTAATTAATGTGTTCTTACGCCATACTTACCTTGAGTCTCTCTTCTTGCTTAACAGTCTGTGAATCCATATATTGTGAAGCTGTCTATTGTAGATGATGAGGCCACCCTCAATGTGAGTATCTGGATCCTTGTGTATTGTTTTAATTGCTTGCACTTGGTGGCCTTACTTTCAGTGGACATTTAGAACAGAGAGCAGAGAGCTATTGTATGCAATTCATCTAGCTATAAAGAGGGAGTCAATCAATATTTTTTTTTTTAATTTATCTGTTTATTTATGCATACAAGAGCTGGAGTGTAGGCCAGAGGTGTGGGGGCAGGGTGTGTGTGTGAGAGGATTTACCAGAGACAGAGTGGGGAGCAGAACAGATGGATCTACTGAAATACACTGCTGAGGGGAACAGCTGGCGAGACAGGAGAGGACTACTGTGCCATGTGGGTTAGTTCCCTGGCTGGGGATCAAACTCATGGTGCAGTGGGTGCAGAGAGCTTCATAGTGCTGAGTCTTAACCCCTTGTGCCACCAGGGAGGCCCCACAACTGCTTTATCTTCTATCTTTCATCATGTAAGGAATGTTTGAGTGATTGCTCATCATGATGAAGTGATTGGTTATTTTTTATGTTATAGTGTGTTGAGATTGATTATTCTATAGTCAATAAATTACATTTGCAAGAATAAGAATTAGATAATAATTCACCACCATGTACACTTTAATATCTTGTAATTTTTAAGTCAAGTATACTTCAACAAAGCTGAAATTTAAAAAAAGGAGAGAAGCCCTCAATGACCAAATGCTGGGAGGTATTTTTTTTTTAAGATTTATTTATTTATGCATACAAGAACTGGGGTACAGGCCAGAGGCATGGGAGGGTGAGAGAATCACCAGAGACAGAGTGTGGAACAGAACAGGTAGACGACTGAAATTCACTGCTGTGGGGAGCAGCGGGCGAGTCAGGACAGGTCTGCTGTGCCATGTGGGTAGCACCTTGGTAGGGGATTGAATTCGTGCTGCAGTGGCTGGGGACAGCTTCATAGGTTGCTTCTTAACCCCTTGTGCCACCAGGGAGGCCAAGATACCTTTTTTAAAAAAAATTAAATATTTATTTATTTATTTATACAAGCAGGGTACAATCAGTCAGAAGCGCGGGAGGGTGAGAGAATTCACCAGAGCCAGAGCAGGGAACAGAACAGGCAGACTGATGAAATACACTGCTGAGGGGAGCAGCAGGCGCAGCAGGAGAGGTCTGTCGCGCCATGTGGGACCCTTGCCTGCGGCTGGGGATGGAACTGGCGCTGCAGAGGCTGCGGGCAGCTTCACAGCCCATCGCTCAACCGCTGAGCCACCAGGGGAGGCCCCAAGATACCTTTTTGTAGCACTAACCAGATGATATTTATAGCCTGACTTGGAGCAACTGAAACATGGTTGATGATATATATCTACTATATATACCTTTGAGAATTTGGGAAATAGAATCTAATTTCTGAATACTGAGAGGAAGAAGAGGAGCAGGTATCTGGCTTTATTCTCTTTTCATCTTACCTTCTTCTGTCTTCTAATTTCCTTTATAAAAAAAAGCACATGTAATTCATCTTGTGGCCTTAACTGATCTTGGTGTTATGCTTAGCAGGTTCTCAAGGAAAAGTTGATAATTACTTTAACCTTTATTGAATGATTCTTCAGTTATTCTCGTTTTTACCTGTGGCCTGAAAGAGAGTGACTTGTCTATATGCATCTTCATTTAGCATGGGACTCATTGTCACTTTTATTGAGGCTGTTTTAGAGACAGATGAGAGCTTTTTATTTGATTATTCTAGCTCAAGCTTGTCTTTTGAGGTGAAAATAATCCCAGTGAAATTGTCAGTGATCTGCCTGGTCTTGTTTTATCCCTTGTTACTTTATTTTGATTACATCTGGAAACATGAAGTAAGATAATTATATTAAAGAAATATTTCAACAGAAGTTCCTTTTGATGCTTTGACTTTGTTTCCCAGGATTTCTGTCCTTGTTGCCCACTTTTCAGGTAGAACTTCTTGGGCTTGGATCATGGGAATATAACAGTGTTTTCCCTGCTCTACTCATTGCTTCACTATTTTACTTGTGGTATCTTTTTTCTTTTCTAGGGAATGGGGCTTGTGATTGCTCAGGCTTTATCTGAGTACAATAGGTAAGTTCACATTTCCAGAAGGAAAGGATCAACTTTTCATTTTAATTGGTTGAGTAGGAGCAGGTGTGCACAGTTCCTAGGTCAACTTCTCTTACCTATCCTATTAGTACAGCTGCTGGCAGATGTATTTGCTCTGGCTTGGCTTGATGACTTTAGCAGGGGTTGTTTCTAATACCAAGGGGAAAGTTGCTACGAGGTTAAACTTTTGTTTAAGCAGTTAGGCTTATTCTTTTGCAACCTTTGATATTTTATTGCTGAGCATTTTAATTAGTTTTCTAGCTACAAGTATGCTCTTCCATTTAGCCCAGTGTATCGTACAAATATCATTTTCTTTTTTTTTTTTAAGATTTATTTATTTATGCATGCAAAAGCTGGGGTACAGGCCAGAGATGTGGGGGGTGAGAGGATTCACCAGAGACAGAGTGGGGAACAGAACAGGCCAAATGACTGAAATACACTGCTGAGGAGAGCAGTGGGCGAGACAGGAGAGGTCTGCTTCGCCATGTGGGTTGCTCTCTCGCCGGCAGGGGATCTAACTCGTGCTGCAGAGGCTGCAGATAGCTTCATAGTGCGGTGCTTAGCCCCTTGCGCCACCAGGGAGGCCCTCAAATATAATTTTCTATGTAAAAAGGTTGTGAAGCACTGCTTTTTTGTGCACTAAAAATAGGAGAAAACATACTGAATTAATTCTTGTTCGACAGATGCTTCTTTTTCATCAGAAATGAACTGCAACTTACCAGCATTCATGTCTATTCTTTTTTTTTTAAATATTTATTTATTTATTTATATAAGCACTGGGTACAGTCAGAAGCGCGGGAGGGTGAGAGAATTCACCAGAGCCAGAGCAGGGAACAGAACAGGCAGACTGACGAAGTACACTGCTGAGGGGAGCAGCGGGCGGCAGGAGAGGTCTGCATGCCATGTGGGACCCTTGCCGGTGGCCGGGGATCGAACCGGCGCTGCAGAGGCTGCGGGCAGCTTCGCAGCCCAGCGTGCTCAACTGCTGCGCCACCAGGGGAGGCCCGTTCATGTCTGTTCTTGAGACTCTCTTCAGTGATGCTTGCTTTTTCTCGTTATGGATGGGGAAGAATCTGGTATTCAGTGAATGGAAACCAGAAATGTTTCTAGTCCTGGCAATGGCCAGGCAGGATCTTTCTTGCTCCTCTCCAGACTTCCCTCACACACAGTTGGGTGTTGGAATTTCAGATCTTCCCATTGCCACAAATAGTTCACAAATTTCTCTCCTCTTCCTTCAAAAACAAATAAGATTTTCACTGTTAGAGCCTTAAAGTAATTTCACTGCCACACTTTTCAAGTAATAGTCTGTTTAGGAAATAAGTGGATCAGCCATATGTTAGAGCAGTTTCACACTTTTGCAGTTTGCTTTCTAAGTCTCTCCCAAAGTAGCCAGACATTTTGGGTACACACTACCTCAAGAGCAGATGGGTGTCTCTTAGCTTGCAGGGGAAATGACAGTGGCTGGATTGTCATAATGCTTTTGTTTTCTGGAGCAATTGAATTCTATGAATACCCTGCCCTGACTACTTCGAATCCTGAGGACAAAGACATACTTGATAATTAATAGTAAAGTTCAATTTAGTTATTTTTGTTCAGGCAGTATAAAGACAAAGAAGAAGAACACCAGAGCGGTTTTTTCTCTGCTTTAACAAATATGGTAAGTCCTACTTGTTTTTCCTCTTCTGCTCAGAAATATGTGAGTCTGCAGGGGTAGACAAATCTAGACTTAAGTCCAGATGTCTGAGGTGATGGCTTGATGAAGGGTGAGAGGCTGCTCAGAGCATCCTTTTTTGAGAACTGTATCTCTAAGTGGTTTCCAAACCCAAGTGAAATAGGGGAAAGGAGAGCTCTGGTTTCTCTGGGATTAAATTTTTCAAGTTAATCAGTTTTTAAAGGCTATAAAAAGGCACATATTAAATCAGACTTTGCTTCCTAACGAGTTACTTCTATTTGAGGACCAGAATAGGAAGGTTTAGATCTGAGTTCAATCCCGAGTGTTCCTTGGCTGCCTGCTGTGACCATTTAACCCCTTGTAACTGGTCCTGGAGTTGAAGGATTGGTGGAGTGGGTCTGAGCCACTCCTTTAACAGCTTAGGGTCTGGACTGAGGTGCATGCTTCAGAAAAGTTACTCATCTAGTTTGCAAGGCTCCTAAGCAAGGTTTCTCAGCCATGGCAGCATGGGTTTGGGCCAGATAATCGGACTGATTTTTCTGAGATAAACCTAAGAAGTCTGAGCATCTGGGCAGATTCAAAAAGTCTGTCTTCTTGGGCATTAGTATTCAAGTGATCAGCCCTAGGGCAAGACAAGTTTTGTATCCTTTGTAGGAAGCAGTGTCCCCCTCTCCCTAAAAATGCAACTCTCTGTCAGCTTGCCCGGTCGGTGGCTATGCCTTCTTCCCTTCTTTCTCAGAGCATACTCTCAGGAAAGGGCTTGATAAACTCCTTTTTTTTTTTTTTTAAAGATTTATTTATTTATTTATACAAGCACTGGGTACAGTCAGAAGCGCGGGAGGGTGAGAGAATTCACCAGAGCCAGAGCAGGGAGCAGAACAGACAGAAGGACCAAAGTACACTGCTGAGGGGAGCAGCGGGCGGCAGGAGAGGTCTGTGCGCCATGTGGGACCCTCCTCCTGTACTCCTTTTTTTTTTTTTAAAAAAAAATTTATTTATGCATACAAGAGCTGGGGTGTAGGCCAGAGGTGTGGGGGTCGGGGGCAGGTGAGAAAATTCATCAGAGACAGAGTGGGGAGCAGAACTGGTGAACTGACTAAAATACACTGCTGAGGGGAGCAATGGGCGAGACTGAAGAGGTCTGCTGCGCCATTATGTGGGTCAGCTCCCTGGCTGGGGATTGAACTAGGGAGGCGCTTGATAAACTCTTTAACTCTGAAGCATAAATGAGTACAGGCTCTCAGTGGTCAGAGCAGTATGAGTGCTGTATTGATATTTGGTTAATGAAATAGATGTAATTACATTCTATTACTCCCAGGGACTGTTACCTTTTAGCCAAGAAGAAAAAAATTCGTACCAAACAAATGAAGTTTTAGGTTATTAGTAAGAAGGTGGAAAAGGGATTTTTAGAGTGATGAGCATCTTTCTCAGTGCCTTACATATTTGAGGCAGCCTGTTCCATTTACTCATTTGGTGGTTCTGCCTGGTTTTTCTGCCTGGGACACAAACCAAAGATTCTGTGGCCTGAAAGGTGAACAGTGGGTCTCATGTAGAGAAAATTTTGGCCTGAAACTCAAATGTTTTGGTCTGAAGACAATACTATGTTGGATGAAGGCTTGCTTTCTGTGTTATTCTTCATGAGTTAGTTTCTGGCTTCAAATAAGCAATTTTCAGGAAAGATGAAGAATGAGGATGTCGTCTAGGTTAACATTTACTCACAGTCAGTGATTACTAAACTTATACATTGAAGAGGACAGCTGGACAGAAGTACTTGGAATGTGTAAGTCCCTTTAAGGAAAGAAAATTTAGTGGAGTTCTCATTAGTTCATTTATAACTTCTTATTCTTTTAAGATCTTCAAAATTGGCTGCTTTTGGTGAGTGTGACTGGTGGACTGGAGCTCCAGGTACCCTCAAGCTGCAAGCAGCTTGGCTTTTCACCCACTAAAGGCTTCTTAGGCACAGGCTCTTCTCACATTTCCTGCAGTGTCTGCAATTCCCCTTTCCTCCCACAGGTCGGCAGCATGTTCATAGCGGATGCCCATGAGAAAATCTCAGTACAGTAAGTGCCTGACATTCTTGTAGTGTCTTGAATTTTATGGTGAACAATCTGGATGTGAGAGTAGGAAATGTAACCTGTTGCTAATCTTTTACAGATTCAAGCCTTTTTGGTGATTTATTAAGTATTTCTTGAGTTTTAAACAGAAGTGACCTGTAGGGAATTCTGCTTTGGTCTCATGTATTGAGCCGCAAGAAACTGAAGAATTGTTCCCATTAGTCTCTGGATTGAAAAGAAAGAGGGCTCTGTATCTACTCCAGTTAAGGATTTAACTGGATTAGGATGGAAAAGTGAGAGGGGAAATAGTGAATGAAATAGAGAAGAACTAGTCCTCAGGAATAAAGTTAAGACCCTGACTCTGCCTATGAATCTTTTACATAAACCCAAAGGGAATAAAGAGCATTAGAAACTCAAAGGGATTGATAATGAGGAGCTGGGGCAAAATCTTATCTTGATGGCTTATACTGTTTTAACTCCTCCACTATAAGAGCATCTCCCATTTGTCTTTTTTCCTTCAGAACCAATGAGGCCATCCTTCTGGCACTTTATGAAGCTGTTCATTTAAATCGTAACTTCATCACAGTATTAGCCCAGGTTGGTTATATTAAAAACTCCAGTCCTGTTCTCCCTGAATTTCATACAGATTTTTCCTTTGAAAAGCCTGTATAGACCCTGCTTTGCATTGGTAAGTGGTGGTAGCATCGAGTTGCATCGGTTGCCTTTGCTTCATGAAATCCTCAAATATGTGTGCTCCCATGTGGTGCTGGAATGGTCAGATAACAAGCAAAGTTAATTGTTTCACCAGTTTACTAATCTGTTAACCTAAATAAATTGAGATAACTTTATTTTGCTCACTGGAAATCCCCTGGTATTATTGGCCATGTGGATTTTTGTATCAGGATTTCTTTCTGCTTTCTTTTTTTTTTATAGAGGCATGTTTTATTTATTTGTTTGTTTGTTTGTTTTGTTTATTCATGCACTGGGTACAGTCAGAAGCACGGGAGGGTGAGAGAATTCACCAGAGCCAGAGCGGGGAGCAGAGCAGGCAGAAGGACCGGAGTACACTGCTGAGGGGAGCAGTGGGCGGCAGGAGAGGTCTGCGCGCCATGTGGGACCCTCCTCCGGTGGCCGGGGAGCAGCCGGGGATCGAACCGGCGCCGCAGAGGCCGGGGCAGCTTCGCAACCCAGCGCTCAACCGCTGCGCCACCGGGGAGGCCCTGCTTTCTTTTTTTAAAAAAAGATTTATTTATTTATGCATACAAGAGCTGGGGTGCAAAACGGAGGTGCAGGGATGGGTGGTGTATGAGAGATTTACCAGAGGCACAGCGGGGACCATAATAGGTGGATCTACTGAAATACACTGCTGAGGGGAGCAGTGAGTGAGACAGGAGAGGTCTGCTGCACCATGTGGGTCACCTCCCTGTTCAGGGATTAAATGTGCTGTAGTTGCTGTGGATAGCTTCATAGTGCTGACACTTAACCCCTTGCACCATCAGGGAAGCCCTCTTTCTGCTTTCTAAACCACGTTGGAAATACAGAGAGGAAATAGGCCAAGTCACTTATCGTCTTACCAACAACTTCCAGAGAAGAAAAGTAAAAAATACCCTGTGCAACTTAAGGCTAGCTGTTAACAGAAAATATGGTCTACAGATGCTGAAAGTGGGAAGTCACAGAGCACTGAGTGCTGGGTCACTTGCCTCAAGGATGTATCCTTAGGAACTGGCACAGAGGCGACTATTTTAGGCCGAGAACTCAAGTGTTGTTCATGAAAGCTGTCTTAAAAATGTATAAAGTGTTTTTATCTTAAAGTCAGACTAAAATATATTATGTAGATTCCTTTTAAAGAAAAGTTTTCTTATGCTTTTTTCTCAAAGAGTAGAAGTATATGGAATCCAGTGATTGTGGTGGGTTTTTTTTTTTAAGATTTATTTATTTAAGCATGCAAGAACTGGGGTACAGGCCTGAGGTATAGTGGGGGCTGTGAGAGGATTCACCAGAGACAAAGTGGGGAACAGAACAGGCAGGCTGACTGAAATACACTGCTGAGGGGTGCAGCAGGCGAGACAGGAGAGGTCTGTTATGCCATGTGGGTAGCTCTCTGGCCATAGAACTTGTGTAGCAGAGGCCGCGGATGGCTTCACAGTGCTGTGCTTAACCCCTTGCGCCACCAGGGAGGCCCTGCTGATTTGAGTATTAACAAAAAAGTACGATCATGCTTAAAAAGCAGTGTGCTGGTTTAGGCTCTGCCTAGGAGGACACATCATTTTTCATGATTGATAACATATAAGAGACTATGTCCACTATTCTCACTCTGCTCCTTGTTTGCTTTCCACATTGTATAACTGATCTTAAAGAAAGGTAAGAGGCTGGTAAAGCTATTGGGAGAAGAAGGAAGTAGCTGCTCCTCAGCTTAATTCTCAAGAGCTGATGTGGCTGGGATGGCTAAGGAAGGTCAGAAACAGAAGAGTCATCTGTTGGTTCCCAGTAGATGTCTCCTGATGCCTCCTCATCTTACTCCTGTTTGTTGTCGACCAAGAAGGCTGCCATCGGTGTTGCTTTTTTTATAGTACCTGTTAGCCCCTTGGCTCACCATCATTTATTAGTCAATTGTGTGGTCATTAGGGCAGTCCATAGGTGTGTGTTAGATTGATCTGATGAGAGTAGTTCCTTCCTAGGTTCAGACAGGATGGCAAAGACACTTTTCTTTATATACTACTACTATGTATTTGTTAACACTACTTTTTTATTTGTGTGGTTCTGCAGAAAACTTATGTAATGGGAATTTAGTTGCTTAAAGAAAAACTAGCCCTCAGAGCTCCTTATTAGAGGTTAGCAAGCATCAACAATAATCTGGTACTCCTGGGAACTAAATGCCAAAGCAGTCCCTCCAAGAGCTTTCTGTCTAGTTATGAAGCCAGGAATACCAGAAAGAATATTAAGCAGTGGATATTCAGGTCTGGATTGTCTCTCTTTTTTAACTCATCCGTGTCCTTTTTCAGAGTCATCCAGAAATGGGCTTGGTGACAACTCCTGTCAGTCCTGCTCCAACAACCCCAGTCACCCCTCTTGGGACCACGCCACCCTCCTCTGATGGTAAGCCCACTGTCTCTTTTGTTTTCTTCATTAATATGATATTGAATCTCTGAGGGTAAACGTAACTGTGTTGACAACAGTCGTTGATTCTTCATTTAAGAAGTTGTCTGTCCTTCATGACTCCAGAAGCTCCAGAGAAAACTTGGGAAAGATAGTTTTCTCTGTAAGAAGCTTCATAACTTAAGCTCATCCTCCTCAGAGCATTCGAGGGAATGCTACTGAAAGGGGCTTCAGTGATGCCTGTACTGCCCAAGTGTCAGGGTACTTCTGAGGTCCAGATGAGATATTTTATATATATCTCACTGAAATAAATGTGAAATAATAAGTTTACTTCATGTTATTATTTGTCAAATGAGGGAATTGAAGCCAGAGAAATAGGCATTGTGCTTAAGGTTAGTGAGTTGGGACTAAGAACCAAGACCTGGGATGGTGTCTTTTCACTGCTGTATGCCCAACGAAATGCTGGGTATATTAATCACTTAGTAAATATTTGTTGAATAAATGAGAAAGTGAACCTGGCATTTACTCACTATTATGTGTCTACCAACCATAGAAAATGACAAACTTTGAGTGTATCGTAATAGGGAGATTCTTCTTCTCCTAAAAAATAAGACTTCTCCTAAAAAATAATAATAAAAAAAATTTCCTGCCTTGTAAATCTTATGGCTGGAACATACAAAAAAAGAACAGACAAGAAATTATGAATTTTGTCCAATACGCTTCTTGTCCTGAGAGTTGGTTCTATGGTAAGTTGAGTGTGTTTGGCGGAATACCTTAGCTTAGAAATAGTCTTTGCTTTAATGTTTTGCCTTAAATGTTGACCTCATTCTGTGTAAAGAAGTACAGGAAGTCTAATTTTGATCCCTTCTTTGTGTCTCTCTACTGTCTGAAATAACCTTTGATCTACTTTCTTGCCTTTAAATTCATATAGCACCTATGGCACTAGCATTTCAAGGTAGTGCAGACACTATTGGTGCAGAGCATTTGGCAGAGAGGTGCCATTGATACTCATGTTTATGGTAGCAGATTGTATCTGTTTAGAACTGAAAGTCAAATTCCAAAATATCTTAATGAGAAGAAGCAAGTAGTGAGGTTTGTCTACTTGTTTCTGCTTATTCTGGTCATTAAATAATCCAATGGAAATACTGTTCTTTCTCTTTAAGAATGAAGCCTGCCTGGTTACCATGGATATCAAAAGACATATATGTGTGTGTATGAGTGTGTGTGTGTCTGTGTGTATTCTGAGTTCCATGTGATGTTGGGGTTTAGATGCTTTAGAGAACTGCCTTTCAAACTGTTCATTATGAACACTTCCACCCACACATTTGATTATGCAATGGCAGGATTTGTGCTTACTTACAACCAGTGAGCTTTTTTTTTTTTGTAGTGGGAAGATGGAGTCAGCCCACTTTCAAATGACTGTCTCCCTTGATGAAGGGTGCTGGGAAGAATTATGAAGCCAGAGATCAAGAACTAACACTTCCTTAGGAAGGAGATTTTAGTTTGTATATGTGCTGCAGAAATGAGCATGGGAGATTTTAATTTGTGAGGAATTTTATTCTATCTCTTCTTTTTTGTTCTTTTTCCTCTCTTCTAACTCATTTCCTTTCTGTAAGGGGTCCTTGGTATTATAACCTTGCTTTTAGATTTTGTTTTTTAATTATAGTGTTGCTCAGTAGCCCAGTTATATTTAAAGGTATGTCACTGGAGCCATTATTTTTAACAGCCAGCAGTTTAGCTGTAACATTTGTTCTCAGCTCAGACTTGACATTTGACAATTCAGCCTTGGCATGAGAGGACTTTTTGGTAAACTAAAAATACATACACTTCTATTTTTCTACATATTATATAAGACAGTTTTCCAGTTATTGCTGTGTGTGAGTGGGAAAAAAGTCCCACTTACCAGTTAGTCGCCTCTTTGTATTGGACAAAGGAGTGGTTATGGCTCTGAGTTTCAAAACAGGCTGTAGTTTGAAATGACAGTCTCAGGTCATTAAGCCATAACATGAGTTAAGACCTTTTAGTATTTCAACATAAAAATATATTTGTCTTTTATGAGTTCTTGGGGACTGCGCTGTGGGAAAAAGCCAAGGGTTGGGCATGTTAATTTCTTCTCATAAGGCTTTTTGCTGTGCTTGCTGTGTATTAGGGATACATAATATGCAAATGTTTCCCATTGTTAATAAATATTCTCTGCATACATCATAATAATTCCGGAGGGATTCATTATAATTATGAATACTTATTATGAATAATATCCCAAACTCAGCTGAGTCTTCATGGGTGAAAATACAGCAGAAGGCTGTAGAATCTCTAGCTTCTCTGGGCAATCATGAACCTCCTTTTGCTTATGTGTAATGTCTTAGCACTTAACAAGATTTCTCAGTCTAAAGTCTTAGAAACTTGGGAAATCTACATTAAGATTATTCTGTGTGGGTCACTGCTCATTGTTCACTGGGACTGTGACGTGCTCAGAGAGTAGGGAGGAGGGGAGTAGGTTCTTTTGGAAACTGCAAGCAGCTGAGTATATAAACTCAGTTCCCAGGGCCTCCCCAGTGGCGCAGTGAGTTGAGGGAAACACTGTGAAGCTGTCTGTAGCCTTTGCAGCGCTGGTTCGATTCCTGGCCGGCCAGAGAGATTCCCACATGGCGTGGCAGGCCTCTTCTGTCATGCCCACTGCTCCCCTCAACAGTGTATTTCAGTCAGCCTGCCTGTTCTGCTCCCTGCTTTGTCTCTGGTGAATTTTCTTACCCTCCTGCGCCTCTGGCCTGTATAAAAATACAGGCCAGCTCTTGTATAAAAATAAATAAATCTTAAAAAAAAACAACAACCAACAACAACAACAAAAATAAACTCAATTCCCAGGCTGTCCCAACTAATAATGTTCATTTGTTGTCAGCCCCGTATTCCTTTTGGAGGCAGGGGTAGGGAATTGCTTAAGGAGTGGAATTTGAATGTAGTTCTACCTTAACTTTTTCACCTTCCATCTTGGTTATTTCCAGCCTAATGACTTATTCTCAAAGTCAAGCAAGATTTCTCCTTATTAGGAATGAATTGTCATTTTTTTTAAGCAGGAGACTCATCAAAGCAAGCCTCATTTTTGTTCACTATAGATCTTTCCCTTAAAGGCAGATCAAAGTGTCTTTAAGAAGGGTCCTAAACCAAAAAAAAAGAAGGGTCTTAAACCTTGAGGGCATTATGCTAAGTGAAATAAGTCAGTCGAAAGAAAGCTAAACATATTGGATGATTAAAAAAAAATAAAACAAATGAGGGCCTCCCCGGTGGTGCAGCGGTTGAACGCTGGGTTGCGAAGCTGCCCGCAGCCTCTGCAGCACTGGTTCAATCCCCGGCTGCTCCCCGGCCACTGGAGAAGGGTCCCACATGGCGCGCAGACCTCTCCTGCTGCCTGCTGCTTCCCCTCATCAGTGTACTTCAGTCTGCCTGCTTTGCTCCCCGCTCTGGCTCTGGTGAATTCTCTTACCCTCCTGCGCTTCTGACTGTACTCAGTGCATGTATAAATAAATAAAAATAAATCTTAAAAAAAAATAAAGACTTGGGCCTCCCCGGTGGCGCAGTGGTTGAGCGCTGGGTTGCGAAGCTGCCCGCGGCCTCTGCAGCGCCGGTTTGATCCCCGGCTGCTCCCCGGCCACCAGAGGAGGGTCCCACATGGCGCGCAGACCTCTCCTGCCGCCCGCTGCTCCCCTCAGCAGTGTACTTCGGTCCTTCTGCCTGCTCTGCTCCCCGCTCTGGCTCTGGTGAATTCTCTCACCCTCCCGCGCTTCTGACTGTACCCAGTGCATGTATAAACAAAACAAACAAACAAACAAATAAATAAATAAAACATGCCTCTATTAAAAAAAAAAATATATATCTTTAAAAAAAAAAAAAAAAAACTATCTAAAAAAAAAAAAAAAAAAAATAAAGACTTTATTAAAAAAAATAAAATGAAAAAGCAAAATAAAACAAACACAAGCCCAGACTGTAAAAACAAAATAGTGGGACGTGAGGTGGGAACTGGGTGAAAGGGGTCAATTATGTGGTGGGGGATGGACTTTTGGTAGCAATCATTATATAGTTTACATGATGTCAGAATATAAAGCTAGCTACCTGAAACCTGGATAATGTTATAAACCAATGTTACTTCAATTTATTTATTTATTTTAAAAAAGATTTATTTATTTGTTTGTTTGTTTATTTGTTTATTTATACAAGCACTGGGTACAGTCAGAAGCACGGGAGGGTGAGAGAATTCACCAGAGCCAGAGCGGGGAGCAGAGCAGGCAGGACCGAAGCACACTGCTGAGGGGAGCAGCGGGCACTGCAGGAGAGGTCTGCGCACCTGTTACTTCAATTTAAAAAATAATAATAATAATAAGGGTCCTGAACCCTTTTGGGTTACTAGGAACTCTAATTTGAATCAGAATACCCTTTTTAGAATGTTGGGAGAAAAGCACTGTACTTGGAAAATGACCCTCCTAGGTATGAGATAAGAGCTTTGAACTTAACCTTATGAGTGGGAAGACCTCTAGAGGACTAGGAAAAATAGATTAAGGTTTTATGGTGAGCACTTGGTCATCCCGCTGTTGTAGAAGCCTATTTAGTGACTTCCTTGCCTGCTGGCAAATTGGTTATTTAGGTGGAAGTGTTTGATGGAATGTTACAGGCTAAGTTACAGGCTACTTCATCTGTTCTATTTCAGTTATAAGTTCTGTGGAACTCCCACTGGATGCGGATGTGCAGACCAGTAATCTACTGATAACCTTCTTAAAGTATAGTTCAATCGTCATGCAAGACACCAAAGGTAACACATGCTACTTTGGGGTTCAGGTGTGTCAGGCAACTGCTTAACTAGAATCAAGGAGCAGCATTAATATTTTGAAGATTTGACAAAGGAATCATTGGGGCCTCCTGGGAAGGGTAATGGTCCTGATTACTGGAAAACAGTGATTTCTCACTGCCAGATGGCAATTAGGTGGTGTTGGGAAAACCTGGAGCTGGAGAGAATGTTTCAAAATAGAACGGGGAAAAAAATGGTCTCTACAAAAACTAGCAAGTCTTCTTAGCAGATTTTGGTAAGTAGATGCAAACTCTTTTGTGTGGGAAGTGGGGGGATTAACACACTTCAGGGAATTCCCTTTTGAGGACAAGAACTGAAAGCAGCAACTCATGGTGAGAATTAGAGGACTGTGGTACAGAGTATAGTAGGAAGAGGTGAGATTCAGATGAACTGTGTTCTTAACACTTAAAAGAGAAGTGTCAGTACCCACCCCAGAAATGCAGAGTGGAAGTGGGAGAGAAATGGATATTGGAAAAGTTTGAGTTTCTTATGTCTGGTTTCCTGTTCTTATTTGTTGATGATTTTTCTATGATCTTTTAACTGATGGTAGGGTCGTAGAGTGATTTGTCTAGGAGTGAGAAGGAATGAGAGGAAAGCCATGCAATTATATCTCAATTTCTTTTTAAACTCAGCTTTATTCTTTATACTGGATGTGTATGACTGTTCACAATATTTATTTCTGTTCTTTTTAAAATTGTGGTAAAACATACATACCTTAAGCTTTGCCTTTTTAACTGTTTTTAAGTGTCCAGTTCAGTGGTATTAAGCACATTCACATTGTTGTGCAGCCATCACCACCCTCATCTCCAGAACTCTTCACCTGGCAAAACTGAAACATTGTGCCCATTAAATATAGGCCCCATTCCTCACATCCCCTTTGCTCGAAGTCCCTGGCAATGACCGTTCTGTTTCCTGTCTATGAATTTGATTATTCCATAGTTAGCTTGACTACTCTTTACCTTATATATGTGGCATCTATATAGTTTAAAATTCTCTGGGAACACGCCTCTTATTTCATGGTGACACTGAGATAGCATTTTTCCTCCAATTTTTTGAAATTAAAGATTTCTGATAGGGGCCTCCCTGGTGGCGCAGGGGGTTGGGCGCCACACTATGGAGTGATCCACAGCCTCTGCAGCATGAGTTTGATCCCCAGCCGGCCAGGGAGAAACCCACATGGCGAGGCAGACCTCTCCTGTCTCCCCCACTGCTCCCCTAAACAGTGTATTTCAGTCAGTCTGCCTGTTTTGTTCCCCACTCTGTCTCTGGTGGATCCTCCCAGGCCCACCATCTCTGGCCTGTACCCCAGCTCCTGTATGCATAAATAAATAAATCTTAGAAAAACAAATTTCTGATAGAGAGGTTGAGAGGATCATACAGTGATTGCTCATATATCTATTAACATTTTGCCATGTTTGGTTTGTCTCAATTTTTTTTGTTACTGTCATTTTAAAGTTACTTGCAGACATCATCCTTCTACTTTATATCTTAAGTACTTTGGCATGTATCTCAAAATAAAAGGCATTTCCTAGATACCCATTAATATAGCTAAAAAACAGCAATAATTATATTTTATTTATTTTTAAAGATTGATTTATGCATACAAGAGCTGAGGTACAGGCTAGAGACATGGTGGGGTGAGAGGATTCACCAGAGACAGAGTGGGGAACAGAACAGGCGGACTGACTGAAACACTGCTGAGGGGAGCAGCGGGCGAGACAGGAGAGGTCTGCTTCACCATGTGGGTTGCTCCCTGGCCAGCCGGGGATCGAACTCGTGCTGCAGGGGCTGCGGTTTGCTTCATAGTGTAGTGCTTAACCCCTTGCACCACCAGGGAGGCCCAGCAATAACTTAATACTATCATGTAATAGTCACTCCATTTTCAGTTTTTCCCAATTGTCTCAAAAGATTTTTTTCTTTCATAATTGATGGCTTTAAAATTATAGCTTGCATTTTAAGAAAAGATTTATTTTTATTTGTTTATGCATACAAGAGCTGGGGTGTAGGCCAGAGGTGTAGGGGGTGGGGGGAGTGAGAGGATTCACCAGAGACAGAGTGGGGAGCAGGATAGGTGGATTGAATGAAATACCAGCTGAGGGGAGCAGCTGGTGAGACAGGAGAGGGAGAGATCTGCTTTGCCATGTGGATTAGCTTCCAGGCTGGGGATCTAATTCATGCTGCAGTGGCTGCGGACAGCTTCATAGTACCGAGACTTAACTCCTTGCACCACCAGGGAGGCCCCCACTTTTTTTTTTAAGAGGAGAGAGTTGCAGCCTTTTCTCTGGGAGTTGGTTGTTAGCTTTTGGGGAAAGGGAGGATAGAGCTAGATTGTTAGATAGAAGAGTGGCCAGGGATAGGTAGAAGAGTTTCATGAATCTAGTTTTGTATACATAGGGACATTTCTCTTCTGGCTGATGTAAGCTACAGTGAATATCAGACAGGGACATCATGACTTTTTGCACTGCCTATCTCTGAGGCTAGGCCATGTATTTCTGAACCACAACCTCCATTATACCCTCTAATTGTCAGGTATTAGATGATAGGAAGTAACAGATTAATGTCATGGTGAGTTCTATTATCTCAATCCTCTATCACTAATCTGTTAGTAGAGCTTCTTCTGAATGGACTGTTACCTGGGTCATGTCCAAGCCCACTTGAAACATGATAAGCCAATTGTCTGTTTTGGATAGGCTGGTATGACCACCTTCTTACTTCCACTTCACCCTTTTTACCTACAAAGATCCTGGAAAGTAAATAAGCTTTGATGGTTCTGGTAATTGGCAGTGAAATAGTAACTCTTTCTTGGTCATTTGTGTGGGCTTAGAATCCCGATAGCACAGTTGCCTTCTTTTTAATAACTAGAATGTAAGTTTGAAAAACTAGGCACCTTTCTTTAGTTCAGTGGTATATCTTGAGTGCCTGTTGCATAGTATGTACTAACTAAATATTTTTAGAGTAAATAGCTTTGATGGGAAGAAAATGACCAAGAGTTCAGTTTCCTGGTTATATATAATAGACACAGTGCAAGGACCAGGGTTGGCCCCTGGTCTTATTTTATTGCCAGTTTTTATTAACAGTTATGAAACTTTTCTAGATTTTGTGGTAGATGGGTATAAGTTGGTGGATGGGTGGGGGTGGGAAGGGAATGAACCTGACTCTTCAGAACCAAAGTACTGATATGGAAGCAAAGGGCCAGTCTTGACTTGGCTCATGACAGTAAGGACCATTGCAGTGATTAGATATCTCTCAGGAATGTGGTCAGCTCTCCATCTGATCATCAGAACCAAATTTTTCAGAAAAATGTCCTCTGGGAGAGTTCTTTTGCCTTGGAGAAAAGCAAGAATTATTCTAGTAGTACCTTAATTTTCATTCATGTCTTTGGTGTAGAGAGAAATTGTAAATGTTCTTTCTGATGATACAAATCTTTCTTTTCTATGGAAACTTGATCTGGATGCATTTGAGTGAAGGGTGTATTTTTTCTTTACAGATGAGCATCGGCTTCACAGTGGCAAACTCTGTCTGATTATTCTTACCTGTATTGCAGAGGTATTTTTCACTTTTTAGCTAATCTAAAAAGTGCTGTTGTTTTCAGCCCTTCTATCCCGGTTCCTCTCTCCTGTCTTTGGGTCCTATAACTTGGGACAGAAAATCTTCCTCCTGTACTGTGTTTTTTTTTTTTTTTAAAGATTTATTTATTTGTTTATTTATTTATTTATACAAGAACTGGGGGATAGGCTAGAGGTGCGGGAGGGTGAGAGGATTCACCAGAGACAGTGGGGAGCAGAACAGGCAGAAGGACTGAAATACACTGCTGAGGGGAGCAGCAGGCAAGGCAGGAGAGGTCTGCTACACCATGTGGGTTTCTCCCTGGCCAGCTGGGAATCGAACCAGCACTATAGAGGCTGTGGACAGCTTCACAGCACTGTGTTCAACCCACTGTGCCACCTGGGGAGCTCCCCCAGCCCCATATTGTTTTTTCCTCCTACTAGAATGTAAGCCCCCAAAGTAGGTACTTTGTCCCCTACATCAGCATATTCTCAGTGTATGGCGCATATTAGAGCCTCATTAGTAATTTTTGAATGAATTAATATTGAATTGTGATATAACTACTGTAATTGAGAACTGGAATATTCTAGCTTTTAAGAGTTTTAAAAAAGAGACTTAAGCCTCTTTAGCAAAAATAATTCAACCCCTTTGAAGCTGCTCATCTTAGGTCTTTTGCATTCAGCAAAATGAAAAAGGACCTCAGGTTTCCTATTGGCAGGAATGCAGAGAAAAAAGCTAGAGGGGAATTTGAAACTGAATAAAGTTGGACTGATAATAGTTTAGAAAAGAACAAGAGACTGAAGACAATAAAATGATGTGCTTCGGCTTTGAAAGGACGCACTTTTGTTTGGATTAATTAGGCTTGAACTCACCCAGGATCCTGATGGTAGCACAGGTCTGGTAGAACTTGAGTCATTTAGAGCTAAATTTGTAGCTTCAGTCCCCCTTCACTATTCCTTACTCTGATCTTTTTAAAGAGAAATAGTAAAGGTGGTCCAGGTGGAGCAGTGATCTTTCCCTTTTATGTTCTCTGTGAAAAGATGACCTACTTTTTATCAGGTTAGGGGTAGCTGGTTATAGGAGAGCTGCTTATTAGCAGCGGACCTAGTATAATTGCTTTTCAAAAATTTTTCTAAGAAAATCTTTAAAGGAGTTGTTTTTCACAAATTGTAACAGTTCCTAGTAATTGGAGTCTGTAGTTATGTCAGATCTTCAGAAAAGGTGCTGGGAAAGGGCCAAGGGATGTTATTAGTGATCCACAGTGAGAGGCTTTTGATTTTCTATCACTCTTCAGCAAAGCCAGATAGACGGGGTCTTACCTACTACTTGCTGCCTGGGTAGCAATTTTCTCCTGCTGTGCCCAAGTTCCATTCCCAGTGGAGGGCCTTAATAGTACTTTCTCCTGCAGAGTCTAAACATGCATCCTGCAGCCCCTATGAAAATCTTCAAGCTGTCACAAACAGAGCAGGCTCCTTGGGCAGATGGGAAGGAAGAGAGACTAAGAGAACAGATTTCTCTCAGCATTTGCCTCATGTTTCTGTGCTCTTTAATTTTTGTTATTTGTGATTTGCTTAGAGATTTTTGACCAGTTAGAAACACTGGGAAATTAGGCTCATCCCACAGGCTCTCCAAGTTATCCATAGGAGTTGGTCTAAAAGTCCAAGGATTTGTAGGAAGTGTGGTAGATTATAAATTGAGTTTCTTATGCATAGCTCTTACTCCTTACCTTTTCTCTGTATTTTGATTTTTATTAGGATCAATATGCCAATGCATTTTTGCATGATGACAACATGAATTTTCGAGTAAACTTACATAGAATGGTATGTATGACTCTTGCGTCTTGTTTCTTCTTAGAGAAAATATGTATGATGGCAGGATGGGAAGGATGAAAGTGATCCTGCTACAACAAATGTGGGTGAAAACTTGTGCTGAAGGGCTCTGTTGAGGGTTGTTCAGCAGACCCAGCCTGTTGTGGGTTTTTTTTGTGTGTGTCATGAAGCTATTTGTTACTCAGGAGAGAATGGAAAGGCACACAACCATATACCCATTATAGTAATATTAGAATGTATCAATATTGTAGATTTCAACAGGAAGATGGTTCTAAACCTGTAGCGTGATCTTTGACTAGCTAAGGCTATATAACTGCTTTGATTTATTAATCTGAAAGGTAGGGGAAATAGAAGGTGAAGGTTCAGGGAGTATCCTTAAACTTGGAGGTATGTTAAAAAATACAACATTGAGGCTCATAGTTGAAACTTACTTTTGTTTTTTCTCTAACTGCTACTGTTATTGCCATTACACAGTCACTTCTTCTTTTTCTTAATTGCTATTTTATTACCAAAGAAAAGTACCACTATACCACTTTTGTTGTTAATAAAGGCACTTATGTGAATAAAATCAAAGTGAAAACAACAGCTTTCACATTGTAGTATGCTCCGGTGCCCTTTGGGGGCCGTTGTCTTCTGTGAATTGTGTTTTTATCATAGGCCTGCACTGATAACTGAGAGGCATTTGTAAACCCCCTGCCCTACTCTGTTTAGCCTCTCTGCAGTACTGCTTTTATTTGCATGAAAAACATGATGAGGAACCTTTGGATGTCAGTTTAGGTGTCTGCTAATTTTGTTTGTTTTTGTGTATGAAGCCTATGAGACACAGGAAGAAGGCAGCAGATAAGAATCTTCCCTGCCGTCCTTTAGTCTGTGCAGTGTTGGGTGAGTACCATCAAAATTGGCATTTTTTTGAGCCAGGGACAGGTTTTTATGATTAGTAGGAGAAATGGATCCTGGTTGATGTGCTTCTTCTCAGACACAGAGTTACTTGTGTTTTTTCCCTGACCTAAGAAACCACTTACATTGTTGAGTTTGATAAAGCAGCCCTAATGAATAGAATGCTCAGTAAAAAAGGTGCTGTTGTTCAAGGTTGAGCCTAAGCTTGATACACGATTTAAATTTGTAGAATATTTTGAAATCTGGGAGTGTGATACCTCCATTCCCTTCTTTTTTTTTTTTTTAGGAGACCTTTGGCTATTCTGGGTTTTTGGTGGCTCCATATGAATTTCATCAATATTTGTTCTATTTCTTTGAAGAATGTCACTGAAATTTTTATTGGAACAGCATTGAATCTGTAAATTGCTTTTGGTAGGATGGCCATTTTGATAATGTTAATTCTTCCAATCCATGAGCAGGGGATGTCTTTCCATTTCTTTGTGTCTTCTATTTCTTTTAACAGTGTTTTATAGTTTTCTTTGTATAGTTCCTTTACTTCTTTTGTGAGGTTTATTCCCAAGTATTTGATTTTTTTAATGGACACGGAAACAGTAATTCGAAAGAGTACCTGTACCCCTATGTTTATAGCAGCACTATTTACAATAGCTAAGGTACAGAAACAACCCAAATGCCCAAAAATAGATGACTGGATCAAGAAGATGTGGTACATATACACAATGGAATAATACTCAGCAATCAAAAAAGATAAACTCGGGAAGCAAATATTGTCTAAAAAAATTAAAAATGATAAATGTTAAAAAAAAAGATAAACGCATGCAATTTGCATCAACATGGATGGAGCTGGAAGGGATCATGCTCAGCGAAATAAGCCAGAAAGAAAAAGAAAAATACCGGATGGTCTCACTCATAGCAGGAATTTAGAAAACCTAAATAAGGGACCAGGAAAAAGACTAATTATAATAAAGAAAAAATCAATAAGTAACTATAAATCAGAGACACACTATGGGGCAGGGGCAGGGGGAGGAGAGGGGGGATTAGGGCCAAAATAAGGAGGGTGGGAATTGTATGGGGAATATAACCAAAATGAAAATGCATACATTATGCAAAAATGAAAAATGATGTAAGAATTATATAAAATAAAATAAAATATTAAAAAAATTTGTAGAATATTTTACTTCTGATGAAGATTATAAATTCCTTCCTCCCCTTCTTGGTGCAAATTAAAATGTCAGCTGGCCAGGAGGCTGGAATTTCAGGGTTCAGATATACAAAACTTTCTTAGAATAAATTAAGCTGAGATGAAGCTGACAGCGCTGACAGATGGGGGGACTATATCTTAGGTAATTTTGTCTCCTCAGAATTCTGTGCATTTTCCTTAGGGGAATGATCTGAACTCTTAAACCCATTTCACTTGGATATGCAGCGCTCTGGTTCCTAAATCTACCTGATTTTAGAAACAGTAATTAAGACTATATAATAAGCCTCTATTGACCCAAAGCCCCACAGACCATTTTAGTCAATACCTGTCAAATTGAGCATGATAGTGAGATGAAACAGACTGACATAACTTTACAGCTGAGTCTCTGGTTACAGGAGTGTGATCCATAATTTTTGTCTGCTTGCTTCATCACTCAGTTCTCAGAATTTGATTTCCCTCTGGCATTTCATATTAGTGCCGTGATATGAAATATCTGTACAGTGAAATCTCCCTTGTTTCTGAATTTATTAGCAGTTCAAGGTATCCTGGAAGTAGAAGAGTGAACAAATTTTCTTATTTACAAGTGGCAGGTGGTAAAAAGTATTGCAAGAAGTGCCTTATATAAAATAAATTTAAGTACATGTGAATAAAAATGTGCCATTCACCATGAGTGCAAAGTATAATTAGAAAGGTTTATTCCAACTCAAAGGAAGGAATGAATTTCATTCTGATTGATACCATTTTTTCTCCTTTCCCCATTCAGACCTCATGGTAGAGTTTATTGTAACACACATGATGAAGGAATTTCCTATGGATCTTTATGTGTAAGTACCATTTGTATCATTTAATGTGTCCAAGTCTATTTCACAGAATTGCTAACAAACTTGTAGTCACAAAATTTATATGTAGGACTTTCCTGGTGTCACTGGGGTTAAAGTCTCAGCACTGTCAAACTATGGCCAGCCACTGTGGAATGAGTTCGATCCCCATCCAGGGAACTAACTCACATGGCGCAGCAGACCTCTCCTGTCTTGCCGGCTGCTTCCCTCAGCAGTGTATTTCAGGAGACAGCCTGTCCTGCTCCCCATTTTGTCTCTGGTGAATCCTCTCACCCCTCGTACCTCTGGCCTACATCCCAGTTCTTGTATGCATAAATAAATAAAATAAATATTAAAAAAATTTCTATGTAAACTGTGGAAAAATACATTGGTGTGTGGTGTGTGGATAAATGTTGGAGTATTTTATGGCCTAGATTTATAAATCTTTCCAGAAGGGAGAAAAATGCAAATCACAATTTGGATTCTTCTCACATCATAACTTCCACTTTTAGGCACACTGCATGAATAGCAGCAGGACTGGTTTACTGAAGTAGTGATCATGGGTGGTTATTGTAATCAACAAGTGTGGAATATCATCAGACTGCTTAATCATCTCTGGGCTTTGGCATCAAAGTAGTTAGAAGGTAGTGAAAGTCCAGAAAGATAGGGCTTCTAGTCCATTCTTAGCCTACATTGTTCTAGTGGCTTAGTTAGATGTCACCTAGCTAGGCAGATTATATATATAGCACCCTGACTGGGAGATTCCTGCTACCTGGGGAGAGCAACTGAAAATCATCATATTTTAATAAAGTGTAAGACTTGAGGCTTTTTTACTTTGCTATTTCTGCATTCTTGTCTTTAATGTGCGAGAACAGCTGTGTTACATCAGTGGGATCCAAGTATGTACATTATCTTTATCCCTTAAAAAACATTGAATTGAGTGTGACAACAGAATCAGTACCTCCATTTTGGGATACTGATTCCTTCCTTTGAGTTGGGAGGTGTGAGAACAGTTTGGTGCACAAAAGTTCAGTGTTAACTCACACAGTGCAAAGCCTGGATCTAGGGAGGTAGAAAGGACTTTACTTAGACTAGAGTAGACCTCCAGCTTTTTAGATTGCTTGTAGCCTGCAGAGCCTTGGTCTCCTAAATCTGAAATAAGATGTAAATTTTACTTTTAGTTAAGTAGGTTGCACTCGCATTTTTCCTTATCTTTCTGGGTATGTAGAAGTAAATCTGTTGCTAATTTCAGTTCAAAGACCATGAAAACCTGGTTTTTATAAGAATTATACGAGGAGTTTTCTGCCTATTTTAGATGGAATCTCTGAACCTCAGGACCTTAGGTTGCAGAGGTGTTTTGCCACAGTTTCTTTCTTTCTTTTTTTTTTTTTTTTTTAAAGATTTATTTATTTATTTATTTATTTATTTATTTATTTATTTATACAAGCACTGGGTACAGTCAGAAGCATGGGAGGGTGAGAGAATTCACCAGAGCCAGAGCGGGGAGCAGAGCAGGCAGAAGGACCGAAGTACACTGCTGAGGGGAGCAGCGGGCCATGCGGGACCCTCTTCCGGTGGCCGGGGAGCAGCCAGGGATCGAACCGGCGCTGCAGAGGCTGCGGACAGCTTCGGAACCAGCGCTCAACCGCTGCGCCACCGGGGAGGCCTGCCACAGTTTCTTTCTAAGTTGATTATTTTACGTTCTAGTTTAGGATAGCTATTTATTATGTAGTGTATTATTATAGTTTCAGTTTATCATTTTCTAGGTAAGAAAACTGAGGCTTGGGATATTAAGTGCTTTTCCCCGGGTTATTCTATTAGAAGTACCATTGCCTTGAACCCAAATTTTCTTATTGTAAATCTTAGGGGATTGCCATCCCTTCTCAGGTATATCTGTTGCTGTGAACAAAGTATGCTAAACATAGTGGTTTAAAACAACTGTTTTTCGGGCCTCCCTAGTGGTATAGCGGGTTGAGCACAGCATTTGAAGCTGTCCACAGCCTCTTCAGCACGGGTTCGATTCCTGGCCGGTCAGGGGGATTCCCAGATGGCGCAGCAGACCTCTCCTGTCATACCCGCTGCTCCCCTCAGCAGTGCTTTCAGTCTGTCTGCCTGTTCTGCTCCCCACTCTGTCTCTGGTGAATCCTCTTACCCTCCTGCGCCTCTGGCCTGTACCCCAGGTATTGTATAAATAAAAAATAAATCTTAGGGCCTCCCTTGGTGGCGCAGCGGTTGAGCACTGGGCTGCGAAGCTGCCCCCAACCTCTGCAGCACTGGTTCAATCCCCGGCCACCAGCGAGGGTTCCACATGGCGCGACAGACCTCTCCTGCCATGCCCGCTGCTCCTCTCAGCAGAATATTTCGTCAGTCTGCCTGTTCTGTTCCCAGCTCTGGCTCTGGTGAATTTTCTCACCCTCCTGTGCTTCTGACTGTATTCAGTGCTTGTATAAATAAATAAATAAATCTTTTAAAAAATATGTCTTAAAAAAAATAAAACTACTGTTTTTCACCTCACAGTTCCTGTGGTTCAGAATCTAGGAGCAGTATAGTTGGCTTATTTTGGCATAGGGTTTTTCCTGAGGCTGCAGTCCAAGTGTTATCTGCAGGCATCTGATGCCCCAAGCTTACTTCTCTGGTTGTTGTTAAACCTTAGTTTCTTATCATAAGGGCCTTTCCATGCGGTTGCTCAACCGAGCAGCTGACTTTCCCCAAAGCAAGTAATCAAGAGAAGAAATGGAGAGTGAAAAGCCACATTGAAAATCTTACTGTCTTTAATAATCTAATCTTGGCCTCCCCTGGTGGCGCAGTGGTTGAGTGCTGAGCTGCGAAGCTGCCCACAGCCTCTGCAGTGCTGGTTTGATCCCCGGCCACTGGCGAGGGCCCCACATGGCGCGATAGTCCTCTCCTGCCATGACCGCTGCTCCCCTCAGCAGTGTATTACGTCAGTCTGCCTGTTCTGTTCCCCGCTCTGGCTCTGGTGAATTCTCTCACCCTCCCACGCTTCTGACTGTACCCAGTGCTTGTATAAATAAAGAAAGAAATCTTAAAAAAAAAAAATCTAATCTTAAATGACATACCATTTCTGTTGGTGTCACAGGCCAATCCCGATACAGTGTGGGAAGGGACTGCACAAGGTTGTGAATGCTAGGAGGTGGCACTGCTGGGGGCCATCTTGCAGGATATTGCTAGTATGTTACATTGCTAGTATGTTACTCCTAGTATGTTACAAAACCAAGATTCAAACTCAAGTCTGTCTGACCCAAGAGGGTCACACTAACTTCTTAGTGTGATAAGTGACAAATCTATACTGATTGACTAATACTGATTGGGGCATAAAAGAAGATAGCAGAGAAATATCAGGTGCGGGCCTCCCCAAGTGGCATAGCGGTTGAGCGCTGGGTTGCAAAGCTGCTCGCAGCCTCTGCAGCACCGGTTCGATCCCCGGCTGCTCCCCGGCCACCAGAGGAGGGTCCCACATGGCGTGCAGACCTCTCCTGCCGCCCGCTGCTCCCCTCAGCAGTGTACTTCAGTCCTTCTGCCTGCTCTGCTCCCTGCTCTGGCTCTGGTGAATTCTCTCGCCCTCCCGCGCTTCTGACTGTACCCAGTGCATGTATAAACAAAACAAACAAACAAATAAATAAATAAATAAAAACATGCCTCTATAAATAAAAAAAAAAAGTGTTTAAAAAAAAAAAAAGAGGGCCTCCCCGGTGGCGCAGCGGTTGAGCGCTGGGTTGCGAAGCTGCCTGCGGCCTCCGCGGCGCCGGTTCGATCCCCGGCTGCTCCCCGGCCACCGCAGGAGGGTCCCACATGGCGGGCAGACCTCTCCTGCCGCCCGCTGCTCCCCTCAGCAGTGTACTTCGGTCCTTCTGCCTCCTCTGCTCCCCGCTCTGGCTCTGGTGAATTCTCTCGCCCTCCTGCGCTTCTGACTGTACCCAGTGCATGTATAAACAATGTATAAACAAAACGAACGAACAAACAAACAAATAAAAACATGCCTCTAAAAAAAAAATAAAAAAAAAAAAAAAAAAAAAAAGAAAGAAAAGAAAGAAAAGAATTTAAAAAAAAAAAAAAAAAGAAATATCAGGTGCATTTGACCTCAGTCATAAAAGAACAGTAGGAGTTCTCTCTGTGGAGGAGTCAGGGAGGGATACTCCAAGCAAGGGACCCACATCTTCAGAGGCTTGACATGTGGCTTGTTGGGAGACTAGAAAGAGATTCAGAGATTAGAGTATTGGGTGCATGTAGGAAGTTTAGGAAAGCAAAAAAGAGTTACTTGAGATTAAGTGGATGATGGGGAAACAGTTGAAGGTGTGGGTAAGGTTGTATGTTCAGAACATAGAGTTATAGGTATGTAGCTGTCCACCTAAACCTCTATATTCCTAGCCAGTGAACCTGGTCTACACTAAATATTTTATTTTCCTCCTCCCACTGGTTCCTAACTTTATCCTTAGAAGAGCTTATTGCCTTGCTTTCTGAGTTGCTTTTTCTACCCGATCCCTAATTGAATATCCTGAGGTTAAGGAAGATGGAGAAGATAATGAGACATAATCTGACAGAGGCTGGGCAGAAGACCCCACCCTCAGGCTGAATTCACTTTCTTCATTACTACCCATGAGCATATTTCCAGATCTTCTTCCTCCCACTTCCAGTGCTTTCTAGTTTTTAGCATTTGGAGCATCAAGACATTTTTAGGTGTATTCATTGCCCCTAGCTGGGCATCAGGCCAGCTTGCTGTCTTAATTCTCAATATGTACTGCTTTTCAGCAGCTTTCCCATTGAGAAATTGAAATAAAAGTGAATTTCCACCATTTCAGATAAGTTTATATAATCCTTGTGGTGAAATATGAAGAAATATGGAATGTGAAAAGACTTAATACTCAAAGCCAAAATTTGGATCAGAGTTGAAACTATTCACCTCGGCGTATGAGTGCTGTAGGTCAAGCAAGAGAAAAGTTTTGCTTTGAGCAGTAAGAGGTAGGAAAACCCAGCAAATTAATATTCAG